TCCCGAGTAGCTGGGATTACAGATGCATACCACCATGCCCTGATAATTTTTGTATTTTTAGTAGAGACGGGGTTTCATCATGTTGACCAGGATGGTCTCGATCTCTTGACCTCGTGATCCACCCACCTCAGCCTCCCAAAGTGCTGGGATTACAGGCCTGAGCCACCGTGCCTGGCCAAGTCTTACTTTTAAGTAGAGAGAACGTTATAAAAAGGACACTGATTTCTGACCAAGGGGTCAGTGATCGAATACTGAATAGAAATCACTAGTTGACGAAATCACTAGTTGACGTAATCAAATGTAGATGGTGTATGAGTGAGCACTCTGAAGGACAGCGGTGCTCTGGAAATTCTCTCTCCCTGACCCACACATTGCCCTGTTGTGACCCCGTTTCCTCCTCTGGCTCTGCCGAATGACTCCCTCACCCAATGGGCACGAATTCCTCTATCTGTCCATTCAGTGAGCACCTGCTGCATTTGGGGTGCTGGGGTGCTGTGCTAAGTGCTGGGGAATGATACACAGTAAGCAATGTCATAATTAATTACATTATTAGAAGCCCTGGGACAAGTGCTGTGACCAGTCCAGGGCACTCAGAGGTCAGGCTGCGGTGGAGGGGGCATTTCTGAGACCGAGGGCTCAGTATCTTGAGGGAAATTACATTTTAGCTGAGACCTGAGGGGCAGGTGAGGTTTATCTAGGGAGGAGGGGAGCAAGTGTGTGATGGGTGGGGGCTGCAGAGCTCCTAAGGAGGAGAAGTGGGGAGGATCTGTGAGACTTCGCAGTTGTCCAGGGCGCGGCAGAGGCTGGGAAACGGACAGGCCAGGCTGGGTTGCGAGGGTCCCCACATTTGCCCGAAACCTGGGAGTGAGTGCTGACAGGCAGCTGGTGAGGGCCCGACAATGGTCAGGCTCACATTTTCTAGGTGCCTCGTTTAAAAGAAGGCTGAGGAGCAAGTGGGAAAAGAGAAGGAAGTCTGTAGGCATTTTGCAATTTTAGCTTTGGGTTTCTGATCCATTATGAGTCAGCTGCTGTTGTATGGCACAAGGTGGGGTCAGATCTTTTTTCATATGTGTACCCAGGAGTTTAGCACCATTAGAACATACTGTTTTCATCAACTAGCTATGACCTGAAAGGCCCATGCGCAAACCTTTGCTACAGCACCAGGAGAATAGGCACGAGGTGGGAGAGTGCCCCTGGGAGACATTTCTGCCCCAGGAAAGCCAGCAGGGACTTAGCTTCTCACGGCAGGGCCTGCAGACTGCATAAGCATGTGCCGTAGACACAAGCCAAGTGCAATCCCAGCTCAGCTCTTCCTTAGCCAGTCCCTGCCCATATGCAGGAAGAGCAGAGCAGCGCAGGCTGGAGCAGAGACACAAAAGTCATAAGCGGTTACAGTTAAAATATCTTTCTTCTGCAAATTTTACCAAAATACATGGCTACCTGGACACATTGTTGGGGCCCTCCCAAGTGCCCTACCGTCAGCCTTATTAGCTGCACAGTAAATCAGGTTTCATTTCATTCAAACGCTGTGAAGTAGGGTTTTCTTAACCCTTAGTGTCAGGATGAGAAGGCGCTGAAGCTCACTGTTAAGATGGCCAAGACTTCCTGGGTGCCGACAGAGCTGTGAGTCTGTCCTCAGGGCCCCAGCCCTGAGCATCCGGTAGGAAGGACACAGCAGGTGAGGGGAGTGCAGAGGGCAGGCCTAAGGAGGCAGGCAGCCAGGGACAGCAGCCGCCCATGGCGTGCTGTTGAGCGCCTCCTTGGTGGGGTCTCTCATTTTAGTGACACACACGTGTCATTTGCAGCTAGTGTGTGCTTAAGCTAACTGCATCGGTATGCTTAGAGTTTGTGCCAGAGGGTTCAGTAATTCTGTAATTCTTAATATGTTGTGTTTTTAAGTCCAAGTTAATCCCTTCAGGCATTTTTAAAATTTGTTTATTTATTATTATTTTGCTCTGTCACCCAGGATAGAGAGCAGTGGTGTGATCTCGGCTCACTGCAACCCCTGCCTCCCGGGTTCAAGCGATTCTCCTGCCTCTGCCTCCAGAGTAGCTGGGACTACAGATGCACATCACCAAGGCTGGCTAATTTTTGTATTTTTAGTAGAAACGGGGTGTTACCATATTGGCCAGGCTGGTCTCGAACTCCTGACCTTGTGATTTGCCCGTCTTGTCTTCCCAAAGTACTGGCATTGCAGGCGTAACCCACCACGCCTGGCCACCTTCAAGCATTTTTAAAGATTGCTATTTTAGCCCATTGGCCTGAGCAGCCTTGGGCATGCCCGGGACCCTCAAAGTGCTTATCCCATAGTGTTGGGATTACAGGCATGAGCCACTCACTGCACAGGTTGTGAATTTTTAATAACAGCTTTATTGAGATACAGTTTCACACCATAAAATTTACCCTTTGAAATATACAATTGTGTGGTCTTTAGTATACCCACAAGGTTGTGCAACCATCACCACCATCTAATTTTGGATAATTTTTGTCACCCCAGAACTGCGGCCCTTTGTAGTCACCCCCATCTCCTCTCCTCAGTCTCTGGCAACACCTACTCTGCTTCCTGCCTCTGTGGATTTTAGAGTCATGTGGACATTCCACATAATGGATTCATACAATCCGTGACCTTTGTGTCTGGCTTCTCGCTCCGGGCATGATGTTTCAAGGGCAGTGAGTGAGAGCTTCATTCCTTCTACAGCTGAGTTGTATTCTATTGTGGGAATAGAGCACATGGTGTTTGTCCATCTGTCTGTTGATGGACACTTGGGTTGTGTCCACTTTGAGCTTTGAGAGGACAGTGATTATCCGGCATTGATGCCTGGCTTGGGCGGGTGTTGAGCAGCCCCTCACCCCGCAGTCTGATTCTAAGCTGTTGCAGGTTCCACCTGGGGCAGGAACCTCAGCTTTATCGATTTGATACTTGAGTCATTCACCTTTTCTCTTTTTCCATGTTTTCTGAGATGAGTTTCTTCTAACCTGTGCATTAGGATCACCTGGGGAGGTTAAAAAATACGAGTGCCCACTGACTCCCCGGTTAAATTGACTGATTTGATTGAATTGGCCTGGAGAAAACCTAGCCCTTAGTGTTTTTTGAAGTAGCTCAAGTCGTTTTCATGGGCAGCCATGGTTGAAAATGTTTGCCCTTGACTGTTACCTTGCTCTCTTTTGAGTAACCACTAAGGAGATCTCCCTCAGCTCACACCCTCTGCCTGAGCTCTGCATCCTTGGAACCATGCTGCTTCTTCCCCAGGGCCTTGGGGGGTTGGGGGTGTGCTGCTCACCTTCCTCTTCACCTTTGCCCCTACAGTCTTCCCTAGGTCACAACTGTAGGTTGTGTATAAAAATTCCTTTACAGAAAAACTGGGGATCACATTAAAGAGGAATTACAACCTAGGAGGGGAAGGAAAACCACATGCACCAAACATGACCTCCCCTGGAGTCCAGAGGGCCCTGCTCCACACAGGCCACTTGAGAGCTCAGCTTGCTCACCATCCCCCTCCCTTCACTGTCAATCGGAGACACCAGGCGGGTGGTAGCTGTCTCAGCACCCCCAGCTGTCACTCTCCACCCCTTCTCAAGCTCTCCCTAAGTGTGGCTGTGCAGCCTGGCTAGCAGAAGTTGCTCTGAGGTTACTAGTGCAGTGCCCAGGCAGGAGCGATGTGGGCCCCCAGCTGCCAAAGCACTTTTGAGTTTTCTGTAGTTCTTGTACTTTTGGGATCAAACATCCACATCCACATCCACATTCCCAGGTTCAAACGTTTAGAGACAATGCAATACAAAACCACAAAAAGGGAAAAAATGTTTCTGCAACAGCTTCTAATACAGTTTGGCTGTGTCCTCACCCAAGTCTCACCTTGAATTGTAATCCCCATAATTCCCATAATCTACAGGTGTGAAAGGAGAGGCCAGGTGGAGGTAATTGAATCATGGGCGTAGTTTCGTCCATGCTGTTCTCATGATGGCGAGTTCTCCCTCGATCTGATGGTTTTATAAGGGGCTCTTTTCCCCTCTCTCCTTCCACTTCTCGCTCCTACCGCCTTGTGAAGAAGACTGTGTTTGCTTCCCCTTCCACGGTGATGCAGAACTGTGAGTCAATTAAACTTCGTCCCTTTTTAAATTATCCAGTCCTCAGGTATTTCTTTATAGCAGTATGAGAACAGACAAATACAGCTTCCCATGTGCCCGAGAGACTCCTCCCCTTCTTGAAGCCAGTGGCTCACTCTGGGACCTGTGTGGCCCTGGAGACCCCGCCTCTGGTGTGACAGAGCCCTCATAGCTGCCCTGCACTGTGGGGTTTTGCACAGAGTGGCTTTGAAATGGTTATTTTAGCCGGGCGGGGTGGCTCAAGCCTGTAATCCCAGCACTTTGGGAGGCTGAGGCAGGTGGATCCCGAGGTCAAGAGATTGAGACCTCCTGGTCAACATGGTGAAACCCCGTCTCTACTAAAAATACAAAAAATTAGCTGGGCATGGTGGCACGTGCCTGTAGTCCCAGCTACTCAGAAGGCTGAGGCAGGAGAATTGCTTGAACCCAGGAGGCGGAGGTTGCTGTGAGCCGAGATTGCGCCATTGCACTCCAGCCTGGGTAACAAGAGCGAAACTCCGTCTCAAAAAAAAAAAAGGTTATTTTAACTAGGATTCCATGAAGTTCCTAGCTAATGACTTCTTGTTGGTTTAGCTTATTTTCCATGTTATAATTATCATAATTATAAACCTTGAATTTTCTTATATAGGCAGGGGAGGGGTTTCTGAGAAGCTGATGAGAATGGTTTCCTTTGGAGCAGAGGGCTGGGTGTTTGGGGGGGTTGCAGAAGACTCTTCTGTATATCCTCTTCTTGCCATGTGAGTTTGAACCATGAGATTGTGTTACTTGTGCAATTCAAAATAAACTAAAAACCCTTCAAATCCTATGCTTGGCTCACTATGAAAGATATATTTTTATCAAATATATTTTTGCCAAGTTTTATACCCTTTGAGACTTAGTTTTATATTGCCTTGCCATTTGGTTCAACTTTAATTCTGTAAACCTTTTTCTCATTAACCACATTGTAAGGTTTTGTTTTTTTTTTTTTTTTTTTTTGAGATGGAGTTTTGCTCTTGTTGCCCAGTTGCCCAGGCTTGAGTGCAGTGGCACAATCTGGGCTCACCACAACCGCTGCCTGTCAGATTCAAGCGATTCTCCTGCCTCAGCCTCCTGAGCCCCTGGGATCACAGGCATGTGCCACCATGCCTGGCTAATTTTGTATTTTTAGTAGAGATGGGTTGTCTCCATGTTGGTCAGGCTGGTTTTGAACTCCTGATTTTAGGTGATCTGCCCACCTCGGCCTCTGAAAGTGCTGGGATTACAGATGTGAGCCACCGCACTCAGCCTATTGTAAGGTTTTAAGAACACAGATGATCTCATGCCTCATTCATTCATTTATTCAGAAAATATTTTCTTCAAGCATCTAAAATGTGCTTGGCCTTATGTCATGGATGTAGGACCAAGGATGACACAGCCCTTGACATGGAGGAGCTAAGAAGGCCTGTGATAGGGAGCTAAGAGATTGCACTACAGTGAGGGTCATGGGGTTTAGAAAATAAACCACTACAGAAGGCAAAGCTTGAGCTGAGTTCTGGAGTGTGGCTTATTTGCTTGGAAGGCACATTCCCAGCGAGTAGTGATGGCAGCAGGAGGCATACAGGTTCCTAGGCAGGAAGGGGCAGGTCCCTTGTAAAACTCCACCTTCAAGCCAGGGTTGGCCTGAAGCTTGTGGGCTAGGCTGCCAGTGGCTGGTGAAGTCTGAGATCCAGAGAGAACTTCTTTGATGCCTTTCAGCTAATCGAGTGGTGATTTTTCCAGGCCTGCCCATGGACCAATCAGCATGCATTTCCTCCTGTCCATGGACCAATCAACATGCACTTCTTCCTTTCTGAACCCATAAAACCCCCAGACAACCTCATTCTTCCTGGATGTGGAACAAGAACTTGAAACCTGCGGAATGGTGGGAGCAAAAGGAGCTGTAATGCTTTCCTGGCCAGCTTGTGGAGCTGCAGGTGGGAATTAAAGTGGCTGTAACACGTTCCTGGCCAGCTCACCAAGCTGCGGGTGGTGACAGCTACCAGACTGAGGGAGTGAAGAATGGTGAGCCTTCTAGGGGCCCAGACCTTGGGGTTTCTCAAGCCAGAGCTATAACGGTATAGCCCTCCCACCATGCAACGGCCACTCCAAGCAAAGGGAAGCAGCAGTGGGGCTGGGCCAGCCTAGGAGCCATGGACTGGAGCAGGGCCAAAAGAAGAGCTGTAACATGCTGCCCCAGAAACACAACCCCCTGCTCACCATGCTGTGGGTGATGAGAAGGAGAGAAGACCTGTGACCCTTCTGGGAGCCCAGACCTCACAGGCTGTGACACACTGTAATCCCCTTTGGGGCTCTGTGGTTCCTGGCATCTCTGAGCTTTCGGGCACCACCATATTCCCTTTGTCCAGATGCTCGTGCCCACGGTGGAAGCCACTTGTGGTACCTCTGGTTGAGCCACAACCTCGTATGGAACCGGCAGCTGTGAGCACTGCACTACACAGACATTTAGGCCTCATAACAACTCCCTCGAGGAGCCTCAGTACTTAAGTAGGTCCCCTCTGATAGATGAGGAAACTGAGGCTGTCATCCATGGCCTGTCGAAGGTCACCAGCTAGTGAGCACAGAACCAGGTTAGCCCAGGTGGTGCAGCTTCAGAGCTCATATGCGTAACTTGAGACATTATTCCTATTCAGAAGCAGAACCACCAGGAACAAACAGATGGCTGATTGGAGGAGAGACAACCGTAAGGAAAGGGGCAGGATTCAGGGGTGGGAGGGGAAATCGATTTCCGTTTGGGATGCATGTCAGCATCAGCGTGGGAGAAGGCAGTGAGCTGTTGAAAATTCTGGCGTTCAATTTATATATAAAAAAAGAAAAAGAAAATTCTGGAGTTCAGAAATAACTGTGTCCTACAAATCCAGATGCAGAGGTTATTGCTCGAAGGTGGCAGTTTGCACCTTGGATGTGAAGGAAATTGCTGAGAAGAATGTCTGTAGTCCCAGCTACTCGGGAGGCTGAGGCAGGAGGATTGCCTGAACCCAGGAGGCGGAGGTTGCGGTGAGCCGAGATTGCGCCATTGAACTCCAGCCTGGGTAACAAGAGCGAAACTCTGTCTCAAAAAAAAAAAAAAAAAAAAAAGAATGCAGTGAGAAGGTGGGGGGGGGGAGGCGGCCACCAAAATTCAAGGAACTGCAGAGAAGCAGATGTCTATGTATGGGCGGAGGAGGAGGTCAGAGGTGGCTGCAGCCCGAGGATGAAATAGGTGATGTTAGAGATCGGCCACTTGTTGACAAGTGTCCCGGATTCAGCAGGCTCTGAGTGGATCTCCTCTCCCCTCTGCAGCCTGCCTTGCTTCACTGTTGCAAGCTTCCTAGTAAACCAGTCCTCTACCTGCTATAATTTTATATTACTTGTTGAAATGATATTCCAACAATAATATAAACATTTTTGATATGCTAGGCTAAATAAAACACATTTAAAAATTAATGTCACCGATTTATTTTTTCTAATGTGCTCACTAGAAATGACGATTGCACTTGTGGGTCCCGTGATGTTCCTATTGGGTGGTGCTGTGCTCCCACAGTGGCAGCGGCTTCAATCTCGCCGAGACCTCTGGTTTGGGTTCAGCCAGGAAAACAGATACCACTTTAGACATCTCAAGCATGAAACAACATAGCTGCGGGGAAGGCCAAGTCCCCACAGAGGGATGGAGAGCACGGTGGTAGAGAGAACCGTTTTCTAAGAATTTGCTTTCAATAAAAATTGAGAACGCCCAGTCAAGTTATTCGCTGACACAAAGTAAAAGATCTGCTAGATCAGTATTTGATTTTGGCATTTAGGCCAAAGAACTGAATGATACTGCTATTACTTCTTCACAGTTGGGCGCCTTCGAGGGTCCCCGACGAGGCCTCTCCCTCTCCACCCTACGGGAAGCTGACCGGCTGCAGCCGCAACTGCAGAGGAGGCACCTGCGGGGGCTGCACCTTCTCGGAGAGGGCGGGGTCCTGCGGGGGGAAGCACCTGCCCAGTGCGCACCTACCGAGTGCAGGCTGCGGACCACCCGGACAGGTGCCCCCTCGGCAGGGAGGGCGGTCACGGGGGCCAGGCCGAGGTGGGGTCCTCCCGGGGATCCAGACGCGGCCCCGTGGCTTCTCCAGGCCCCAAATCTTCTCTCCTTCTTGTCCCCGTCCCTCCCTTTCTCTCCTTCCTCCTTCCCCCAGCGCCGGTGCTCGCAACGCCCGCGCGCACCGCCCCGCCCTCTCCTGGACCGCGCGCTGGCTCCGCGGAGGACGCAGGACGCGTACGAGCGCGCAGTTTTCGTCGGCGCGCGCACTGTGCCTGGGGCCCAGCTGTGGCGCCGCGCGTGCGCGTTCCGCTGTGCGCGGCAGGGCACTGGGCTAAGCGGCTGAGGCCGCACCCCAAGAGGCGGGCATAGACAGGAGGAGGGTCGGCCGGGCGTGTGGGCGGGGCGTGACCTGGAGGCGGGGCGGGGCCCGAGGCTCGCGGCGCCCAGCTCTCGCGAGAGCGGCGCTTGATGACGACCGGGAGGGCGGGGCGCGTCTGGGGCGCCGGCGGGTGCGTTTGAATCTGGTCCGAGCGCGGGAAACGGCGGGTCCGGGAGCCCAGGTGAGAGTTGCGGTGCGGATCCGGGATTGGGTTCAGAGCAGGGGCTGGGAGATAGCAGTGATCGGGCTGGAAGCCCCTCCTGGGCGGGCCGGGGTCCCGGCCTCCGCTACTCTATGGAGGTGGCCGACCAGACCGCGGCAGTGCTGCCTCTGATCCGACCGGACGGAACCGGGGCCCCGGGCCACCCCTCTGCCTCCCGCGGCGACGCCCGTCCTTCCTGTCCACGTCGGAGGAAAATCCCAGCCCCGCGCGCGGGCACTGCTTTCAGTGTCCTCCACCCCCGGGCGCGGCCCTCAGGTTCCCCTCAGCCCTGGGTGTCGGCACTGCCCTCAGAGAGAGTCCCCTCAGCCCTGGGCATGGGCACTGCCCTCAGAGAGAGTCCCCTCAGCCCTGGGTGTCGGCACTGCCCTCAGAGAGAGTCCCCTCAGCCCTGGGTGTCGGCACTGCCCTCAGAGAGAGTCCCCTCAGCCCTGGGTGTCGGCACTGCCCTCAGAGAGAGTCCCCTCAGCCCTGGGCATGGGCACTGCCCTCAGAGAGAGTCCCCTCAGCCCTGGGCATGGGCACTGCCCTCAGAGAGAGTCCCCTCAGCCCTGGGCATGGGCCTGCCCTCAGAGAGAGTCCCCTCAGCCCTGGGTGTCGGCACTGCCCTCAGAGAGAGTCCCCTCAGCCCTGGGTGTCGGCACTGCCCTCAGAGAGAGTCCCCTCAGCCCTGGGTGTCGGCACTGCCCTCAGAGAGAGTCCCCTCAGCCCTGGGCATGGGCACTGCCCTCAGAGAGAGTCCCCTCAGCCCTGGGCATGGGCACTGCCCTCAGAGAGAGTCCCCTCAGCCCTGGGCATGGGCACTGCCCTCAGAGAGAGTCCCCTCAGCCCTGGGCATGGGCACTGCCCTCAGAGAGAGTCCCCTCAGCCCTGGGCGTCGGCACTGCCCTCAGAGAGAGTCCCCTCAGCCCTGGGCGTCGGCACTGCCCTCAGAGAGAGTCCCCTCAGCCCTGGGCGTCGGCACTGCCCTCAGAGAGAGTCCCCTCAGCCCTGGGCGTCGGCACTGCCCTCAGAGAGAGTCCCCTGAGCCCTGGGTGTCGGCACTGCCCTCAGAGAGAGTCCCCTCAGCCCTGGGCATGGGCCTGCCCTCAGAGAGAGTCCCCTCAGCCCTGGGCTTGGGCACTGCCCTCAGAGAGAGTCCCCTCAGCCCTGGGCGTCGGCACTGCCCTCAGAGAGAGTCCCCTCAGCCCTGGGCATGGGCCTGCCCTCAGAGAGAGTCCCCTCAGCCCTGGGCTTGGGCACTGCCCTCAGAGAGAGTCCCCTCAGCCCTGGGCGTCGGCACTGCCCTCAGAGAGAGTCCCCTGAGCCCTGGGTGTCGGCACTGCCCTCAGAGAGAGTCCCCTCAGCCCTGGGCATGGGCCTGCCCTCAGAGAGAGTCCCCTCAGCCCTGGGCTTGGGCACTGCCCTCAGAGAGAGTCCCCTCAGCCCTGGGCGTCGGCACTGCCCTCAGAGAGAGTCCCCTCAGCCCTGGGCGTCGGCACTGCCCTCAGAGAGAGTCCCCTCAGCCCTGGGCGTCGGCACTGCCCTCAGAGAGAGTCCCCTCAGCCCTGGGCGTCGGCACTGCCCTCAGAGAGAGTCCCCTGAGCCCTGGGTGTCGGCACTGCCCTCAGAGAGAGTCCCCTCAGCCCTGGGCATGGGCCTGCCCTCAGAGAGAGTCCCCTCAGCCCTGGGCTTGGGCACTGCCCTCAGAGAGAGTCCCCTCAGTCCTGGGTGTCGGCACTGCCTTCAGAGAGAGTCCCCTCAGTCCTGGGTGTTGGCACTGCCTTCAGAGAGAGTCCCCTCAGCCCTGGACATGGGCACTGCCCTCAGAGAGCGTCCCCTCAGTCCTGGGTGTCGGCACTGCCTTCAGAGAGCGTCCCCTCAGCCCTGGGCATGGACACTGCCGTCAGAGAGCGTCCCCTCAGCCCTGGGCATGGGCACTGCCGTCAGAGAGCGTCCCATCAGCCCTGGGCATGGGCACTGCCGTCAGAGAGCGTCCCCTCAGTCCTGCGTGTTGGCACTGCCCTCAGAGAGAGTCCCCTCAGCCCTGGGTGTCGGCACTGCCCTCAGAGAGAGTCCCCTCAACCCTGGGCATGGGCACTGCCCTCAGAGAGAGTCCCCCTGAGCCCTGCGTGTGAGCGCTGCCCTCAGAGAGAGTCCCCCTGGGCGCTGCCCTCAGAAATTATCCCCCAGCTGTGAACATGGGCCTTGGCCTCAGAGACATCAGTCACCTGAACTCTTGCTGCTGGTTTGGTGCCTCTTGTGTCCATGAGGAAGGAGTTTGGGGACGGAGTGGGAAGTTACAGGTGGTGAGAAGCTTACAGGGATTTCTTCTTTTTAATGCCCATCTTGATTCAGTACCAGACCTGTTCGAAGAGTTGCCTGCTCTTTGGACTGATAACAGGATGGTGAGGTGACTTCTTACCTTAAAAGTAGCATTCGGGCTGCAGGGCTGAGGTCTTATGCACATATGGTACAAGAAACATGGAATATTGCCACTTTGGGAGATAGAAAACTCTCAACAAATTACAGTCACTAATGTAAGAGAAAATGGGAAATATGGGAATAAGTTTGGTGGTCTAGAGGAAGTATATTACTGTATGTTGGACTAAAATGCCGAAGAGATACACTTGGAAATAGAGCAAACAAGAAAAGTGACCAGAACTCTGAGAAAGTGGAGCATTCACTCACTTGCCGGGAGAAGATGTATGACTGTGTGTGTTTGCAGCACCTGGTTGGATTACTTTTCTAAAATCATGAGTTTGCCCTGGCCACTATTCCTTATGCTTCTTGCTGGCCACTCTCCCTTTCCTCCCCATTTTCTTTGTCAGTAAAAAGTGTGCCAGCCATGCCTGATTTAAAGAGGGAGACACGTTGTCCTTGGGCAATTTCATCACTGCATGAACATCACAGAGTGCACTTGTCTACACCTGGATGGTGTAGCCTGCACACATAGGCTGTATTTGTATGGTGGCACCTACTGCTCCTAGAATGTCACTGTACCGAATACTGTAGGCAACTGTAACACAGTGGTATTTGTATAGCTAAACAGATCTAAGCAAAGAAAAGGCACAGTAAAGATATTATAATCTGGGACCACCGTCATATATATGATCTGTTGTTGACTGATTGTTATGTGGTACATGACTGTAATTCATAGTTCAGCCATTTGAGTTGAGGAATGAGGTGACCAGACTTTACTGTTAACTTATGTGGGGAGTCATTACACTGAGATTGTTTCTGCCTTGTTCAATTTAGACATTAAAATCTAGTATTATATGTTTAAGATGACTATCCCCATAATTACTGCCAGTAATTTTTCATATTGCTCTATTTATAATGGTGCAAGTAGTTTTTATTTATTTTTAAGGTGGGGGTGTCCTACTGCAAATACATTCCATCATTTACTATTACCTCATCTTTAGGTTGATATCTTTTGAGTAGGGCACCAATGGCTCCAGGTGTTGTGAATATGAAATAGAATTTCCTGGAAAAACACACGCAGGATGGAAGGTATACAAAGTCCCTGAGCTCATTATCCCGAAGGGTTGGGAGGACGGTGCTGTGGTTGAGCATGCCTAATGAATAGTCTAACAAGATCCCAGGTGACCCCAGGGCCACTGTTCTCCATCTCACTTTGAATAACAGAATGACACTAACAGTGGGATTTTTTTTTTTAATGGAGGAATGGCCTTTTGAAAGGGAGCATCTTCAGAATCTAGCAGCTGGGATCAGATTATTCTTTTGTTGAATCAACTCAGATCTGCCAAGACAGCATCTTGCTAAGGTACTAAAAAGGAAGAAATGGTGGTGAGCTTCCTAAGGCTATTTGGATTTCTCCCTCCTTAGTTGGTAATTTTATTAACAGTTGTTGATAAAATGTCACTAATGTCATATTAACATCCCCAGTAAAGGAAATAAGTAAATTGTTTTTCAAATGTCATAACTTGTTTTATGTCAGAATATTTTTAGAAACTGTCTACCATATGTGGTTCAGGAATTTTCTTGCAGTTCTTGGATGTTAATATCAAATTAAATCTTGTAGGAAAAGATGTGTTTGCAAGTGTTTCAGTATGATTGTGTTTTCCACTAGGGTTAAAAAATAAATGACATTTGAACAGTTCCATCTGTCATGGAAAAACGTGAGACATTCGTACAAGCCGTGTCTAAGGAGCTGGTTGGAGAGTTTTTGCAATTTGTTCAACTTGATGTAAGTTTCATATTTTAGTTTTGTTGTGATTTTTGACTGTGAATATGAACTATGTTCTAAAACACATGGACACACGGAGGGGAGTACTAAAATGGACACACGGAGGGGAGTACTAAACACTGGGGTCTACTGGGGGGAAAAGGGGAGGGCCAGCGAGGGGGGGAGCTGGGGAGGGATAGCCTGGGGAGAAATGCCAAATGTGGGTGAAGGGGAGAAAGGAAGCAAAACACACTGCCATGTGTGTACCTATGCAACTGTCTTGCATGTTCTGCACATGTACCCCAAAACCTAAAATGCAATAAAAAATTAAAAAAAAAAAAAAAAGAAATATGTTCTAAAATCATTACGTCTCCAAACAAAACATAGTTATCTCAGTGAATCCTTAGCGACCGATGTTTATTTGAAAGAAGAAAACCAAAAACCCTTTATTCTCAAATCTACCTGCTGGTGGGCCAAGCTAAGATATAAAAGGTAAACAGAAGTTAACCAGCCAAAGAGGACTGTTACGGGGAAGGACCCATCTAACCGAGAAGGTTACTCTGAGGACTAGAGAAGGCTTGTTGTGTTTGAATTTGAAGTTCAGCAGGAAGGCAGAAGATGAGGCAAGCGATAGGCTCTGCGGGTCTTTACCAGGTGCTTGAAGCAGGGAGTCAGCTGTAGGCAAGGGACAAAGAGAGCAAAGGGAGAACTACTGGACAAAATAGAGGTAAGGAGAAAAATATGGTTTGCTTTCTGGAAATATTCCTCTGGCTGCAAGTGAAAAGTATGTCAAAGGGATATATTTAAGAGACTAACCTCTCAGGTCCTGCTCTTCATAAAGATGGTTGAATTAGGAACTGGAAATGGGAAGCTGCTTGGAAGTAGAGTGATGGCATTATTGGATTGATTGGATATGGGGGAGGGCCCCGGCATCTGACTGTGTGATACCATTCAGCAAACTCTTGATTGTGGGAAGAGGGGGGATTCAAGGGAGAAGGTGGTTCCATTTTGGAGGTGGTAGTTGACTGCTGGTGGGATGTGCACCAACAGTTGGCCAGTAGTCAGACCTGCACGTCTGAATACCAGGGGAGAAAGGCCTGGGCTAGAGACAGATTGGGCATGGAAACCCAAGTTGTGGGAATGCCTGTGGTTATCTCTCTAGTGTTTCGGAGAAAAGGACCTCAGACAGTTCTGAGGAAGCCAGTGTTGGAGGCACTGACTCTGAAATACAAAAGTGTCTTTGCGGCCGAAGACCCTTAGCATCCTTGTCTCACTTGTTCTTATTATGTGATGAAAATCAAACTAGTGATAACAAAGAATCAGAGGAGAATCTTATAATGAATTTGTTACTAGTCACGTTTAAGAAATTGGTTTTCTTTATAAGAGAAATGAGCTTATATGTTTTGGTATTATAAAATGATACCCTGTAAACTTAAAAATAATCACAAACTCACAGGCATCTTGTCACCATAGAAGTGTTTCTAAGAGCAAATTAGTTAGATATTATATAAATGTCTGCTTTAGCAGTAGCAGTGTACATAGCTTGTATTGGAAATGCAACATATACACATTTTAAAGTCTAAAAGATTGCCGTTGCGAAGTGCATACGATAATGTGAGCAAAATCACAGCGAACTAAATTGAAAATCAAAGGTAAAAATAGTCAAAATCACACTGGTAGTCACAATGACAAGTGCCCTTCTGGTGTGCATTGTTTCCAGCCACCCCTGTTGTGTGCCAACCAGCCTTTGCAGTGTTGCTGGGAAGCCAGCAGACATCTCAGGAGAATTCTGAATTAGTCCTTATACTAATGAGGCGTCAACTCTAGTTTATCAATAATAAGCTTTATTGACGCTTGACTGTTCAGCTTCGTACCTAGTCACTGTGTAGCTCTTAAAGGTAAAAATGAAAATTTGTAGGATTGTGCATCATGTGGTTTCATCAAGTTGAGTGACATAAGTGTCATTTTATGTAATTATGATGTTTTCCCATAGTTCAATTTGACAAGAACCTCAATCAGTTTGAGGCTTGTTAGGGAAACCTCTCCAAGTACGATTAGTTCTGTTATAATCCCACACATGCGTTGCCAACAGTCACTGCACTCCACAGAATTGGTTAAAAAAACCCCAGAGATTATGGGGAAAATGGAGGTCAGGGGGCAACACTGAAAAATTTTGCCAGTAACATGTTAAAAACAGATAGGAATCTAATAAAACAATAGCATAATTTTATATGTTAAATCACTAAGAAATACATGAATACTATAGTAAGCATGGCACTTTAGCTTGAAAAATATTTAAATTCTGTAGTTGGAAGTGGGTGCCTATGCTTCCAGGGTACACCTGCTCCTCTGTGCATAAGAGGAAGAAAATGAGGCAGAACAGAGGAGAAAAGGGCAAGCTACGCAGAGGGGAATAGGGAGCATTAGAGAGCACAGTGGGCTTGGGGAGAGCACATGAAGTGGGGTGGGGCCTTTGGGTCATAGTGGGTGACAGGCACAGTGTGTGGCCCAGGTGTGAATGGACTGAGCTGCTAGGTGTCTGAGATACGTTTCATGGGATCCTGGTGGCTCCAGTCAGTGGGTGCAGTTTTCTGCATTCACCTGGTTAAATTTCTTGTCAGCTTGATGAAACCACATGATGCAGAGCAGAACTGGTTATACCGTGTGCCCTTGTACTTCTTGGAGAATCAGTGATGGGGAGTGGGACACTGAGGAGAATTCCGATCATTTAACAAACATGTCCTGAATGCCTTCTGTATGCCAGACCACTGCACCGAGAGTTGGGTTTGTAGTACACGCAAAGGAAAATTTCTGCAGAAATGGGGGGTTATGTTCTAATGGTAGAGGAAGAAAAACAAGACACATATATAAATAATAAAGCAGGTAAAGACTGGGTGCAGTGACTCACGCCTGTAATCCCAGAGCTTTAGGAGGCTGAGGCAGGACGATCGTTTGAAGCCAGGAGTTTAACACCAGCCTGGGCAACATAGTGAGACCTCATCTCTACAGTAAAGTTAAAAAATTGACCAAGTGTAGTCTGTGGTCTGTGCCTGTGGTCTCAACTACTTGGGAGGCTGAGGCAGGAGAGTCACTTACGCCAGGAATTTGAAGTTGCAATAAGCTATGATTGTGCAACTGCACTCCTGCCTGGGTGACAAAGCAAGACCCTGTCTTAAAAAAAAATAAAACAAAAAACATGCTACTACTGACCACTATTAATAAAGCCAGTAGAAGTTGGGAATGATGGCGAGGCTAGAGAGAACCTCAGGGAGATGCTATTGATTAGAGTGGGTGCAGTTGGGAATGATGGCGTGGCTAGAGAGAACCTCAGGGAGATGTCATTGATGAGGGTGCGTGCAGTTGGGAATGATGGCGTGGCTAGAGAGAACCTCAGGGAGACGCCATTGATGAGGGTGCGTGCAGTTGGGAATGATGGCGTGGCTAGAGAGAACCTCAGGGAGATGTCATTGACGAGGGTGCGTGCAGTTGGGAATGATGGCGTGGCTAGAGAGAACCTCAGGGAGACGTCATTGATGAGGGTGCCTGCAGTTGGGAATGATGGCATGGCTAGAGACAACCTCAGGGAGACGCCATTGATGAGGGTGCGTGCAGTTGGGAATGATGGTGTGGCTAGAGAGATGATGAGGGTGGGTGCAGTTGGGAATGATGGCGTGGCTAGAGAGATGATGAGGGTACGTGCAGTTGGGAATGATGGCGTGGCTAGAGAGATGATGAGGGTGCGTGCAGTTGGGAATGATGGCGTGGCTAGAGAGATGATGAGGGTGCGTGCAGTTGGGAATGATGGCGTGGCTAGAGAGAACCTCAGGGAGACGCTATTGAGGGTGGGTGCAGTTGGGAATGATGGCGTGGCTAGAGAACCTCAGGGAGACGCTATTGATGAGGGTGGGTGCAGTTGGGAATGATGGCGTGGCTAGAGAACCTCAGGGAGACGCTATTGATGAGGGTGCGTGCAGTTGGGAATGATGGAGTGGCTAGAGAGAACCTCAGGGAGACGCTATTTAGGGTGGGTGCAGTTGGGAATGATGGCGTGGCTAGAGAACCTCAGGGAGACGCTATTGATGAGGGTGGGTGCAGTTGGGAATGATGGCGTGGCTAGAGAACCTCAGGGAGACGCTATCGATGAGGGTGCGTGCAGTTGGGAATGATGGCGTGGCTAGAGAGAACCTCAGGGAGACGCCATTGATGAGGGTACATGCAGTTGGGAATGATGGCGTGGCTAGAGAGAACCTCAGGGAGACGCCATTGATGAGGGTGCGTGCAGTTGGGAATGATGGCGTGGCTAGAGAGAACCCCAGGGAGACGCTATTGATGAGGGTGGATGCAGTTGGGAATGATGGTGTGGCTAGAGAGAACCTCAGGGGAGACGCTATTGATGAGGGTGGGTGCAGTTGGGAATGATGGCGTGGCTAGAGAGAACCTCAGGGAGACGCTATTGATGAGGGTGCATGCAGTTGGGAGCGGCCCACTTATACACCTGGGTTACATGGTACAGTGCCATCCCATGGCTAGAGAGAACCTCAGGGGAGACGCTATTTGATGAGAGTGGGTGCGGTCTCAGCTCTTGCTTGTGACTACCCTAAAGTGTGCTTACATACACCCAGTTGGGAGTGGCCCACTTATACACCTGGGTTAGACGGTACAGTACCATCCCGTGGCTAAAGAAAACCTCAGAGGAGATGCTATTTGATGAGAGTGGGTGCAGTCGTGACTCTTGCTGAGGGTATGTTCTGAGAAATGCATCGTTAGGTAATTTCATTGTTGTGTGACTACCCTAAAGTGTGCTTACATACACCCAGTTGGTAGCGGCCCACTTATACACCTGGGTTAGATGGTACAGTACCATCCTGGGCTACAAACCTATGTAACACGTTATTGTACTGTAGGGCTGTTGGCCCCACTGGGTCGTGGGGTGTCCCTTATGCTGTGCTGAGGTGCAGGATCTGAGAAGTAAAGAGACAGGACACTGAAGAACTGGAGAAGAGCAGCTGGACTCGGGGGGCCATGCCACCTATGAGCGGAGACAGGCAATGTCCCGAATGCCCAGAAGCGTCTGTATTTATTAGGTACAAGCAGGGGACAGGGTTGTGAGTGAGGTCATCATCTATAGGCTTGGTGATAGGGCATACATAATCACATGAGTCACAAGCGAGGGGGCCACCCATTATGCCACCTGGGCAGAGAGGTGGGCCGTGTGCAGTAGTGGAAGGTCATGTACAGAAAAGGGGTCCACCCCCATTAGGTCACCAAGGCAAGGAGGTGGGCTGTGCGCAACAGGTGTTGTGCACAACACTTCTTATCTGGGGGCTGGAGACTTCAGAGGGTTTCTAATAGAAAGATACTGTAAGCTAATGCAGTGGGAGCTGACGGACTTGTGCTCTTCTCTTAAGATATATATGGGAGGATGATTTGAGCTAGCACAGAAGGGAGAAAAACTGACAGGGTGTACAGCCGCCGTGGCTGGTCACACCGGAGGGGTTCTTCTCCATTGGTTATTTTCAGGCCTGAGGCCTACTTTCCACAGGAACTGGATGCAAGGTACTACAACTTCTCTTTCAGGAGGGGAGGCTCTTACTCCAAGCCTGCCATACAGCATATGCCCTTTCAGGCAGGGACGCCACCGCCTGGGTCTTTGGTTCTCATCCTGGTCTGGCTGTTTTCCCATGTGCTGCTTCTGTTCTGTGACTGCTCCAGGCATTTCTCCTACTACAGACTACTATACGGTTCTATGGAAGGATTCTATAAATCAGCACTAAATGTGTTGGTACAACTCTGACTACATCCGTTATATGATTATATAGAAAGATTATATGGGACTAAGTATGATTATATATACAAGCTAGATATAAGTAAGCAGTGAGTTATACTTCAGGCACTAAGTGTGCCTGCAGTCTGCACAGTTCTTCCTTGGTGCCCATGTGGGTGTTACCCACATTGTACTGGATACTATAGGCACAGTATTATAACACAATGGTAAATGTTTATCTAAACAGGATAAGGTACACTAAAAATACAGCATAAAACATAAAGATGATACACCTGAATAGGGTACTTAAATGACTGGAGGTTGCAGAACTAGAAGTTATCTTGGAGTGAGTAGTGACTAAATATGAAGGCCTAACACTTCACTGTACCCTACTGTAAACTATAAACACATTATACTTGGGTTATCGTAAATTTATAAAAAACATTTTTCTTCAATAATAAATTAACTTTAGCTTACTGTAACTGTTTTACTTGATAGATTTTTAAAAATTTTAAACTTTTAAAATCTTTTATAGTAAGTTAGCTTAAAACACAAACTCATTTTGCTTTACAAAGAAATCTTTTTTTATTTTAACTTTTATATTCAGGGGTACATGTGCAGGTTTGTTACATAAATCATCTGTGTCATGGGGGTTTATTGTACAGATTATTTCATCACCCAGGTATTTTTTTTTTTTTTTTTGAGATGGAGTTTTGCTCTTGTTGCCTAGGCTGGAGTGTAGTGGCACTGTCTCAGTTCACTGCAACCTCTGCCTCCTGGGTTCAAGCAATTCTCCTGCCTCAGCCTCCCGAGTAGCTGGTGTACATGCCACCACACCTGGCTAATTTTTGTATTTTCAGTAGAGACGGCGTTTTGCCATGTCGGCCAGGCTGGTCTCGAACCCCTGACCTCAGGTGATCCACCTGCTTTTCCTCCAAAAGTGCTGCGATTACAGACGTGAGCCACTGTGCCTGGCCATCTATTTTTACTTTTTAAACTTTTTTTGTTAAAAACTAAGACACAAACACACACATTAGCATGAACCTATACCAAGTCAGGATCATCAATATCACTGTCTTCCACCTTAACATCTTGTCCCAGTGGAATGTCTTCACAGGTGGCCAAGGCGCTCACATAGGGAGGAGAGGCCCTGCAGGATTTCCACCCCACTGGCCCCTCAGCCTCGTATGCTTTGTACAGCACAGGGCTGCACAACTCTGCAGCCTGGTGCTGGAGGAGGTTGTGGAGGGGTGCCCACAGGCATCTCACTAGTTTGCATGTGTTCTTCCTAACTGCTGGGCTTTTGTGTTGCCCTGCCTTCGCCCAGTGTCCTATGGCCCTAGAGGCCTGGGCTGTCACTGCTAATGTAGCAGTGCCAGGCAATGACCACCCCAAGGCCACTCTGGGGAGAGGTAGAACATTTCGATATTTGAACAGCTTTTGTCCCTCATCCTTTTGCCCTTCCAGCCAGCTCTTCTGTCCTAGGCAACAGCCACTGATTTCTTACATCCCCAGCTCCAAAAGCCTTCAGTGAAGCTGGGTGTGTGTCTCATTTTGTTGCTATTGTTTGTTACTGAAACCTGTCTCACTCTCATTTCTTCGGGGTTGATTTTTCAGGAAGGAGTTAGCAGCCCATCCTAGTTCGTCGCACAGGTGGGTGGGCAGCTATTTCTTTTCCTTCAGGCTATACCCTTCAGCATATACCTCTAATAGATTTTAACAATCTGTTGGGTATTATTCTTGCCTATAGACTGTGAGTTTACTCAGGGCAGGGTGGAATCCGATTCATCTCTGTGCCCTAACCATCAGTCAACTAATATTTCCTCATGTAAGCATCATGAATCAGCCCAGTCATTTCACTGGTCACCTGCAGTCACCAGTTTGCTGTGAATAGAAAGAACATCTTGATCTTTGGACACAGCAGCTGTAGTCTGTTACCCAGGCTAGGACCCTAGCATCAAAACTGTCCATTAATGTACTGGAAAGTCACCCTCAATGGACTTAAACGGGCCATTAACTTACTGTTCTTGCATAATCGAGGCATAAAGAATTATTCAACTGTTCACAATTGAATGTCTTGTCTATAGGCAGATCAAGATACTATCTAAGGTCAAAAATTTGAGAGCTGGTCTGTGTTTGCACATGATTGACAGGCAAAGGGCTAAGGAAAAGGGAGAGGTGAAATGAAGGGGAGGAGGGTCAAGGAAAGGAGGGAAGAGGGGAGATTAAAGTGAACAAGTGGAGGCAGAAAAAGAGCTAGATGAAAGATGGAGGAGTGCTAAGAGGAGAAATCAAACACCAGGGCAGGTGAGGAGCTAGGAGAGCAGGAAGAGAGGGAGAGGGAGGGATGGAGGGCTTGAGATATCTTTACTCTCGTTTCTCCATCTTACTGTGTTTTTATGACTCTGATAGATTTGAAGAGTGCGAGTGGCTGTTTTGTGGCATAGCCTTCGTTTTGCATCTGTTGAGGGTCCTATTACATTTTAGTGTGCATTTTATCAGGAACTGCTTAACAGTGTTAGGTCCTCGGTGCTGTCAAGACAGGAAGTGCATGGTGTGGTCTGTCCTTCCCAGTGTGGGTAGGTGCCTGCCAGGTCTCTTCTGGTAGCCTTCCTCTGTGGGAAAGTGGTGACATTGTAATGTCCTGCTGCTCACCAGGCTTCTACCCACTTGTTTTAGCATCTTCTGATAATTCTTGCCAAAGTCCATAATTATTGTGATGGGTATAAAACTGGGATTTTCTAACCCCGTATTGCATCTATAGTTACTCACTGACATTCTAGAGCTTGCAGGTGCTATTAATTAATGATTTGATATTTATTATCAGTATGCCCTCCTTGATTTTTTTTCTTTTCTTTCTTTCTTTTTTTTTTTTTTTTTTTTGTGACGGAGTCTTGCTCTTGTTACCCAGGCTAGAGTGCAATGGTACAATCACAGCTCACTGCAGCCCTTTCTCCCAGAGTGCCTGGCTTGGCCTCCTTGATTCTTATTTTATTCAATTGGTTATAATTCATCACTGTCACTGTTTGCTGCTCACATTATCCCAAATTTAGCTACAGGGAGTCCCTTTAACTGGATTCCATGCCCTTTTGATGAGGGCCTCTTTTCGCTCCATCAAAGAGTAGGTGAGGTCATCTCAGTAAGAGGAAACGGGTTTAGAGGTTTTTGGGGGGAGATCTGAAATCATATTGTTGGCTAGTGGGCGAGAATGATATTGAGGGATGAGTAGGAGGTGTCAAGGGCCCACATGGGGCTGGAATCCATGGCCACAGTATCATTATTGCCATTGTTACTGAACTTTAGCCTGCTTTTGTAATCTAATTCTGAGTTTGGAGATGGTGGATATTTGGGTCTCATTTAGGGGAGGTTTTGCTGAGTGGGTGAAATTTTAAACCCCAAAGATTAGGATACTAGAAAAGAATAGGTGGAGAATCCCCCTGCTTCTTCCCTTGTAGGAATGGGTTTTGAATACTCCAACCAACTCTTGAACTTGTAATGAAGTTAACAATTAAACTTTTAATGACATTATGAAAAGGATATAATTAATTTTTTTATATTTGAAATGTGACACTTGCTCTTTATGTTACAGAAAGAGGCCTCTGATCCTTTCAGCCTAAATGAATTACTGGATGAATTATCAAGGAAACAGAAAGAAGAATTATGGCAAAGACTGAAGGATTTATTGACAGATGTGTTGTTAGAAAGCCCCGTGGATGGGTGGCAGGTAGTGGACGCCCAGAGTGAAGATAATATGGAAACAGAACATGGCTCAAAAATGGTAGTATTTGTTTTTCAAAAATGAGCAACATTTTTTCTTTTTGTTAAAAAATAACTGTTCATTGTGTTTCATTGAATTTTACATTAAAACAAATTTTGAAGTTAGAAGTTAAGAATTTTAGTTCACTCTGTTTGTTGTAGTCACTTTGCAACTCTTCTGTTATTAATCTAATACTAAATATTGCTGTTCTTTTAGGATTATTATCTTGTATTCAACTTTAATTCTTTTAGAATAAGCTAGAATTATGACTTGATTTTTAGGAAATTTGTAACTGAAATTTCTTCTAATAACTGATTTTAAGTTGATGATTTTAATTCACTCGTGCTTTGATTTCTCATTTATAGAGAAAAAGCATAGAAATAATTTATGCAATTACATCTGTGATTCTTGCTTCTGTATTTGTAATCAATGAAAATGAGAACTATGAAGCCTTACTGGAATGTGTTATTATATTAAATGGTGAGTTGACTTTGTTCTAAATGGTATATTTAAAAGTGGGTATTGAAATGATGCTTTGTAAAAGGAAGCTAGTTGTTTTCATGAGCATTGTGGAATTCAGTAGCAGAAGTGATACAAGGTATAGCTTTGCAGTCACGTGCTTTTTCTTCAGTTAGAGTAAGAGCATACTTACATAAGTGCTGTCCTGAATACTTATTTATTTAATATTCTTTTTTTTTTTAGCGACAGAATCTCACTCTGTTGTCCAAGCTGGAGTGCAGTGGCATGATCCCAGCTCGCTGTAGCCTTAACCTTCTAGGCTCTAGCGATACTCTCACCTCAGCCTCCTAAGTTATGCTCCTATGCTGGGACCATAGGCACATGCTGTTTTTTTTGTTTGTTTGTTCTTGTTTTTTGTTACAGACGGGATCTCACTCTGTTGCTCAGGCTGGTCTCAAACTCCTGGGTTCAAATGATCCTCCCACCTTGCCCTGGCCAAGTGCTGGGATTATAGGCATGAGCCATCATGTCTGGCCTAATTAGTTTAAGCTCCTTTCAGATGTTACAGATGGTGAGATGGGCAGTACTCTGTAACTAACTGCTATTGTTTACAGGATTTCCAGGGGAGTCTTTCACTTACTGGACCAATGATCAAAAACTTCTTTAGAGGAAAATACCTGATTCTGTGATTACCACTGCTAGATGGTGTCAACTTAATCAAGAATTTGCGACATTGAATTTTTTCTTTAAATATGTTGTGAACATGATCTGAGGAGTGATCGTTGACTCCTCAGGGAGTTTTAGTATACTGAAATTTAAATGATGGTACTTTTCGAGTTTTAACAAAACTGTAAAACTCCTTATTAATTTAGGAGGTACATTAGTCTAAGTTAATGAAAATATTTGATTATGAAATATATAAAAATTATATTTACAAAAGATGTAAAAATAATATTTAAGAAAAATGTTCACATGCCCTCATCCTTCGCTGTGCAAGTGTAATTAATTTCATGTGACAAATTCTCTCATCAACCTCATTCTTAGCGTCACTTGGATTTATGTATCTGTTTCATTGTACATTGTTTTATTCTGAATTCTTGAGTTGGAATACAGCGTCTTATTAAAAAGTCACCCCAATCAGGATGAAAATAGCTCCTAAATGGTTTGTGAATTTTACTATCAGTTTATTTGTACAGTCTGCAAATAACTAGTGAAACGATTAGTGCTAACACTGTAGTTGCTATCACCTTCCCAGTTAATTTAGGAATGTTATATTTGTGTAATAGCATTCAGATACCTACAGATTATGAGCATTAGTGTTATTAGTTATTGAGCTTTTCTGTTAATAAAAGCACTGTAGTTTTTGTATTCATTATGGTAATTGCTTTTACTGTTTTTCACCTCTGAGCCAAAATTTGAGGCCAGCACATTGAGGGATCGTAGTGGATTATTGCTCGTAGACCTGCCGTGGCTCTGGCGTTAACAGGGTTACCATTGGTGTTGATCTGGGCAATATCTCTCTGAGGCTTTTGGTTCCAGAAATCTTTTTTCTACTATGTCTGTTGAGTCTCTCTTTATGATAATTGTCAAACAGTTTTTTAGTTAACATTATTTGCATTTTATAATTAATGTATATAAATCTTTGGCAAATTAAACATAAACTAATATTATTGCTTAGCGGAGCTTTAAATAATATATAAAGTCATAATACTCTAAACTGTTGAATCTGAAGTAATAAGAATTTGCCCTACTAATTGGAAAATTACTGTGCTGTATTATTTTAGGTATTTTATATGCATTACCTGAGTCTGAACGAAAACTACAGAGTTCTATTCAGGATTTGTGTGTTACCTGGTGGGAGAAAGGCCTGCCTGCCAAGGAAGACACAGGGAAGACAGCCTTTGTCATGTTGCTAAGGAGGAGTCTGGAGACTAAGACAGTATGCTCACTTCCTTTTTGTGTTTTTGTAGAGACAGGGTCTCCCTCCGTTACTCAAGCTGGAGTGCAATTGGCATGATCATAGCTCACTACAGCCTCAAACTCCTGGGCTCTAGCAGTCCTCCTGCCTCAGCCTCTGGAGTAGCTGGGACTGCAGGAGTACACCACCTACCTAAGACTTTATTTTAAAATGTCTTTCTAACATTCTAAACCTGTGCTACTCAATGTAGTAGCCACTAGCCACAGAAGGCTATTTAAATTTCAAGTTAAAAATAATTACAAATTCAGTTCCTCAGTTGCACTAGTCATATTTTAGCAGCTCTACAGCGAAGTGCGGCTAATGTCTACTGCACTGGACAGTTCAGATATATAATATTTTCATCACTGAGGAAGTTCTTGAACTTGCTGGATTTTTGATTTTTTTTCCTATGTTTTAAAAAAAAAATGTTCTGTAGAGCTACAAGTGGCATTTGCAAATTTTAAAATCTGTTTTTATTTGTCATTTTCTAATCCTTGGTGAATCGACTAGAATTGCCATTATTTATGATATAAAATATACTTGATTTGAAATATGACTTTACTGTTCATTAAAAAAAGTGTAACATTTTTTGTACCATTCCTAGGGTGCAGACATATGTCGGCTTTGGCGTATCCATCAAGCTTTATATTGCTTTGATTATGATTTGGAGGAAAGTAGAGAAATTAAAGATATGTTACTTGAGTGCTTCATAAATATTAATTATATCAAGAAAGAAGAGGTAAATAGGTGTTTCTTTTTCAGTCTGTTTGTGAGCTGCTTGTTAATAGATGTCTCTCCTGTGTTCACATGGTTCCTGTTTGTGCCACACTTGGTGCTGCCATGAACGGCAGCTTAGCCACCAGGAGCTGTTATAGTCACTGCACATCGTTTTTACTGCACGGCAGTACTAGAGCAAACATTTCACAAGTCTTTGCTTATTTCATCATTAAATTGGATGGTAACAGGTGGTTGTGTGAATCCTGGGGGAGCCATAATTGCATTTTACATTAAGAATGATTAAAAACAAGGTTGAGAAAGCACTTGTCTATGAATGAGATCTGGCTTTCTGCCCTAATTCCACTTTAATTGGCATATATTCAAAACTGTCGTCCCATAATATCCTCCATTTCTTTATTCTGCCCATCCTGTAAATCCAGAGAGGCTTCTGGCCTGATGCTGCACAACCTGTCCTAGAGTCAGCTCCCATATGTGGCTACTGAGCACCTGAAATGGGGCCCATCTGAATTGAGATTAGCCATAAGTATAAAATACACATGGATTTGAAGAAAGAAATGAATATAAAATAGTTCATTAACAATTTTTGTTTTATACTTAATATAATAGACAATACTTTAGATATATTGCTTTACATAAAATATATTATTAAAATTAATCTTACTTTTGTTAACATGACTACTAGAGAATTAAGAGTTATGGAGAGGCTCACATAGTTCTTCTGCGAGGGACCTTCTGCAGTTGTTTACTGAGTTTTGGCTATATGCCCAGGCAAGGGTCAGTGGAGACTAGAGTAAGCCTTTGCTTTTGGGTGCTCGTGGTGCAGAAGGTACATATCTGAGTCAGAAGGAGAAGTCACCCCTCCTCCCTGAAGGAGGTGGAAAAGGTCTTCAGAGGAAGAGAGGACCAGCTCTGAGGTACAGAATAAATTTCCTCCAAGTCTCACAGCTGCTCAGTGGCAGAGACAGAACTGGACCCCAGCGAGCCATCTGCGGTCCACTAGACAAAGGGCCATATGATTGGGACTGAGACCTTCAGCTCCTGGGGTCCTTGTCTGTTCCTGGTCAGGCCTTTCAGCCTCAGTGTTTTCTTCTGTAAAATAGGAGCAAGTTACTCCTTCACACGATTGGAGAAACAGATGAGGTGATAGGTATCAAACCACAGCCCAGGTGCTGATGGTTAAGAGCCCTTGGGGAGGGCTGCCCTGTGCCGTCGTTGTTACGAAGATGCTGGACACAGCCTGTGCCCCACATGTCTCCAGGATTGTCCCGAAATACGATGGATTCAAACAATAAACTATTTTATGTTGACTTACACATAAGCAGTTGATGAATCATACTTGTTATGTATATGTGCAGGTATATAACATCTGCATAAATATATGGATGTGTTACAACCCCTACTGTCTTTAAAAAATTGATGTGCTCCTTTGAATTTGAGGTATCTAAACTTAGTTTCCTAATGAATCATTAATTTGGTCAGGTCAGTTTCCAGTGATTCTGGGTAAACCATAAACATCTTGTACTGACAGATTACTTCCAGTGAATATTATTATTTTTTTTTACCTTGCCTGTTGTTTACCCTGGATTTGAATCAAAATGTATTACATTTCTGTAGGATTCCAGTTCAGTGCAGTGGTGTGTTGGTAAGAGCTATTCACTTAGAGAATCTTGATAGATGTATTTTATGAACTCTATTATAGAGTGTAAATATTCATTCTTTTGAGGTTCACATATATAATCTAGTAGCGTGCATGTAATGTATACTAATACAAATATGTTATGTACTACATTATGTACTATATATACAGTACATCACAAATTATGTACTACATACATAAATACATCATGAATACCTGATGTATTTATGACTTGAAGACTATTTGGAAATTCTAGCTTGGCAAACACTTAGCCTTTTAACTATATGAGTCCTCAGTTTTCTCATTTATACCTGAGAAGGTGAAACAAACTGAGATATTCAACTCCATTCTCACTCACCTATGCTAGACTTAAAGCTTCCTTTCATTTTCGATTATGTAGCCATCCATGACAGGGCCAGAATGAGATGTTTATGGACCCATGGTTACCATCTGTGGTCTCCCTCTCTACACCTGTGGTCCTTGAGGACAGAGGTGCTCAGTGTAGTGGCTGCTTGGCCCTGAGGAGGCTTGTATGGCCCCCAGCTATGCAGGCCCCACAAATAGTTCAACTTGTGCATGTGCTGTCAATTATAATTACATGTGCCTTCTTTTTAGCAATAGCAATGTTTAGCTTACTAGACATTCAAATAATTGTTATTTGGAACTTTTTATTTTGTGGCAATTTAAACATATCCCTTTTTTTATTTGTAGGGAAGAAGATTTCTTAGTTCTCTTTTCAACTGGAATATAAACTTTATCAAAATGATCCATGGGACCATTAAAAACCAGTTACAGGGATTACAAAAGTAAGTATTAAAGGTAATTAAGATTTTGTGCTGTCTTCATTTGGTTTTGAAAGATTCCATTTGCTCTGACTTTTTAAAGTTACAGTAATAGATTGGAAGCTTTAGAAATATGTCATTTATTATGTACTATTGTGTCACTGGGTAGCTTTTTCCTTCAATAGGAAATCATTCTTTTCCAGTGGTGACCACTGAAATTAAGATTTTAATTTGTGGTAGTTCTTTAAATAGTTAAAATAGTTAAAATAATTTCCAGTTGAACCTTAGCCTTGCTCATAATGAAGCCATGTCCATGGTACCTTGAATGCAATGTGTGCTTTTTGGTTGAACATGGCCTGTCCTGTGTGGCTTCTTGGAAGAGCCTGTGGACTCTGCAGGAGCAGCAGGGAATGTTGCAGTCCTGACTCTGTCACTCCATACACGATGGAGATGTCAGGTGGATGCTTGCTATTTGCCAGGCACAAGGCAAAGTACTTCATTTGCTCTAGTACTGAGTACTTAGTCTGCATTTTAAAGTTTAATCCCCACAACTGTCTTTTGAGGTAGGCTTTGGTTACTAAATTTCCCAATGTCAGGCAATTGTATAAGTACCAAGTTGGGATTTGATTCTGGATCTCTGATTACAGTGCTCGTTTTGTATATTAGATTGCTTTTTTATATTTCCTTATCTTCACAATACTTGAATTGAACTAACAGATTTTTCTAAAGTTATGATTCTTAAGTTGGTACTGGTATTTTAGAGCTTCTTGAATCTGAGGAATTGATAGAATGAAAAGTCCAAAATGACTCCAAGCCGACAATTTATTTATATTTAAATATTTTTGACTTTAGAATTGGACTTACACACTCATAGTTTCACAGAAAACAATAAAGTTCTGGATAAGCCTTGACTGAGAAGGAGAAAATAGTTTGTCACTTCGGTTTTCCTTCCCAAAACCTTTTCCATTTTCTACTTTTTGCGCAGGTAGATAACCTATTTCTATAGATCATTTGCAAAGCACTGGTTTAATCTGAGTTTCTTCTTTGCTATTATTAGAGAGTAGCTGAAATGATACATGTTGAAAGTATAATTCTTTAAATTTGCATTAAAACTATTTTGATCTTTTTAAATAGGTCTTTGATGGTATACATTGCAGAAATTTATTTCAGAGCTTGGAAAAAGGCTTCAGGGAAAATACTGGAGGTATTTTCATTTTATTAAATGTTAACACTTATTTTTATTATAATTTAGTTACTAAATAAGTAGTCAAAGAAGGGTTAAGATCTGTGTTTATGCACTCTGTCAAAATAAAGCCAAATAATGAAAATCTATTTGATGGGCAGTCCAGTCGCTTGCTAAGATCTGGGGTTTGTGGGTGGTAGGACTGTGCTCTATCAGCTGGGAGGGAGCTCTGACCCTGATCTTTCCAATCACATGTGGTCACTGGGCATTTGGGATGTGGCCAGTTCAAATCGAGATGTGTTGTAAGTGTAAGAAACATACCAGATTTCGAAGACTTGATATGGAAAAAGAAGAGTATGAAGTATCTCAGTACTTTTTAAAAATATTGAGTAGATGTTGAAATGATAGTGGTTTGGATGTATTAGGCTAAATGTAGTTGACCCTCTGTATCTGTGGGTTTCACATCCATGGATTCAACCAACCAGGGACAGAAAATATTTGGGAAAAAAAAGTACATGTATTTAACATGTACAGCCTTTTTTTTTCTTGTCATTGCTCCCTAAACATAAAGTGTCACAACTATTTATATAGCATTGACATTGTATTAAGTATTATAAGTAATCTAGAGATGATTTAAAGTGTGCAGGAGATGTGTGTAGGTTACATGCAGATACTGCTCCACTTAATATGAGGAATTTGAGCATCTGCAGACTCTGGCATCCAAGGGAGGTCCTAGAACTGATCCCCCATGGATACGAAGGGATGACTGTGTAATATTAAAATAAGTTTTCCTGTTTCTTTTGTCTGTTTTTAATGCAGCCACTAGAACATTTAAAATTGCATCTGTGGCTTGCATTCAATTTCTTCTATTGGATAGTGCTGTTAAGGAACTTCAAGTCACCTGTTTTAGATACATTATTTTTGAGAATTTGAAGATACTTTCTTTGACTATGGGTAACTCTGGTGACTACATAGTATTTATGTTATGAAGATAGAGCCATGTAATCCACAAACCCAACTCAGCATCCAGACACCCTTCTGGACAAAAAAAGTATCTTTGTTTTCCATTATATTTTTCTTATACTAGGTTTTCAATCATTTTTCTTTTTCTCTGAGAATAAAATTTTTACTCTGAGTCAGAAAGGAGCCTCTCACAACCCTGCGTTCTGTCTTGACTTTTCATTCCTCTTTGGAGAGCAGGCCCTGCACTGATGGGCAGAGGGAGGCACTTGCAGGGTAGAGGCTACCCCACGTCTGGAGTTTACTTCTGTCCTCTCTGCTCCTCTGCACAACTTACACTTGATTTATATTGCCAAGGTTTATCACTGACTTCTAGAAAATAAAAAAGAGGCCAGTCATGGTGGCTCACACCTCTAATCCCAGTACTTTGGGAGGCCAAGGCAGGTGGATCATCTGAGATCAAGAGTTTGACAGCAGCCTGGCCGACATGGCGAGATCCTGTCTCTACAAAAAATAAACAAAATAAAAACTTTTGACTAGATGTATAAAAAATTGATACCAACAGCATGTATTTCTCAGTCTCACTCCCTTCCTTTCTGCTCTCCCTCTCTTTAAGATTTTCAGGCAAATTCCAGACCTGACATTTCATTTCTGTATACTACTTTATTCATCTCTCAAAAATGTGGTTATAGAATGCCATTTTAAGACCTAAAACTGACAGTAAATCCTTGGTATTTTTAAAGTTAGTCAAGCCACATTAAAAGTTTTCTGATGATCTCAAAGTGTTTCCTTAGAGTTTTTTGAATTAGAATTCAACAGGTTGCCCCATGACAGTTGCTTGTTATACTATTAAAATCACTTATTCTAGAGCCTGCCTCCTTCCTTTTCTTTTCTTTTTTTAAACCTATGCATTGGTATGTGAGGAAACTGGACCAATTGTCCTGTAGAATGTAGCATTCTGGTAGTTAGCTCTAAAGGTTTGGATTCAACTTTTATGGCACAACTAATTTCCCAGGTGGTGCTGTGTATCTCATCTTGCATTGCAAGTCAGACAATGTGTGGTTGTCCCACATTAAGTGATGCTAAGTTCAGGTGAAAGAAATATTTTCAAATATAATGGAGAAGAGGAACTTGAGCGTCTGCAGAATCTGGTTTGTATTAGTATTAACCCTAGGAGGGTTTCCTTAGGTCCTTCCCTAAAGCCACAGAAACCCCGCACATGTGTGAGGGCAGGCATAGAGTACAGGGGCAAACCATGGGGTCCACTGGGTTTTTCTGCTGCTCTTAGAGGCTAGGCCTTTCCCCAGTTGCTGCACTCTGAGTACCATTAGTGCATGGGGCCGATGAGGGGCTTCCAACACCTTCCTTGCTTAGCCCTTCTCAATGTGGCCTTGAAAGATTTTTTTTTTTTTAAGATGGTCAATATATCACCTCAGAACATGCCACATTAGAAAGATCTTATTTACAGCTTCCACTGTAGGTGTAGTGCTGTTTTAATTCTGTGGAGGCTGTTGGAACAAATCCCCCCCCATCTTCTGAAGGTTGTCCAGGTCAGTGACGAGTCAGATGAGGGGGCTTCACACTCAACATGCACTCCGTCTCTGAAATTTGTCTGATTTTAACTAGCCTTGAGTGGTAGGTGGAAGCTTACCTTGCCATTTGGCACAGAGTTGACATTTCATCAAATAAAAAGAAGCTAAGCATTCTTGATATACGAAAATCAAAGGAATTCTAAGAAGCATGGACTTGTAATAAGAAAGCTTGGACAAAAGGATCCAGGTTTTTTCCTCATGAAATGTAAGATGGACAGATCAGACTCTTTTTGTACTCCAATGCTGCACTGCTTGTCTGGTCGTCAGGAGGACTCACACACACCAAGTGCTTTGCATTGTATTTGTTATTTCAGACAATTGAAAATGATTGCATCCAGGACTTCATGTTCCACGGGATACACCTTCCAAGGAGGTCTCCAGTGCACTCCAAAGTGCGGGAGGTAAGATTGTGAACAGATTGTTTTTGAAATAATTTTTCTTTGTTTTGTTTTTAGATAATTGTTTCGGTTAAATTTTAAAATTAAGTTAAGCTTTCACAGACGTCAGTTGGGATTTCTCAGAACCTTGATATTTGATGTCTGGCAGTTTTATTCCTGCCACCAAAGTTTTAATGAGGAAAGCAAAGGTGTATTGTTGTTGAGATGGTCAGTATTGTATTTGAATGACCTTAAATTATCGGTTTCTAATGGCCACTATCATTTTTTCCCAAAGATCTTAGAGAGTATTTGAAATTACTCTTATTATTTTACATATTAAATTCCAATTTTGCTGTACTGCAAACCAAATGAATAAATGTTTTGATTATTTCTCTTGATATTTTGTAAAGGTAATCTCAGAATTAAGATATGAACTTCACCTTTATATTAATAATTATAAATTGATTGCCTGGATAAGATTCTATCATCAGTGTCATTACTACACTGATAGGTGTGTGATGGATCATAAGGATCCTGGCAGGAGGAATGGAAAATCTGGTCTGCTGTGTTGGTTAATTAAGCAGTTGCTGTTGATCAGTGTTCTAACCCATGAGATGCCTTGTTTGCTTGCTGTTAGTTTTGCCAATCATATAAGAAACCGAGTGAATGAAGACTACCCATGGCTTTGTTTTGTCGTATACTGAAACTACTGCTCTTTATAGAATGTAAATATGCTAATTAATTTTGAATGTATAAGAAAATGTTTCTTTGCATTATTAATGATTTAAGTTACACAAGGATAAAGAACCCAGAGATTTATCTAGACTGAGTTTTCTACAGGATTTAAGAATTGTGATTGCATATATTTAGGATAAATATATTCGATGAACTTCCTGTCCTACCCCCACTACCCTATCCCCAGTCTCAGTGTGGCTTTATTTAGTTGTAGTCAGTTTGGGTTATTTCACATACATGATTTGGTGTTTCAGATTTTATTTAGTAGAAAGAATTATGTCATATTAAACTACATATGTTTATGTAAACTATATGTATTTATGTTTATTTAAACTATATGTATAGTTTATATGTAATTGATGTATGTTTCAATATGTTATTTTCTGCCATGGTAGTCTGAGTAGTTAAGATATCATAAGTATAGATATCACTATTTGGTAAATTTATGGAAAAATGCACAAAAAGAATTTAAAGGGAGAATATTAGATTTCACTCAAGTGAAATGTGTTATTCAACTCCAAGTAATTGTTTTTTATCACTGCTTATAACACATTATAGTTTCTTCCTCAAATTGTTTTTATTTGATAAATAATAAAATTATCTGATAAGTCATTTTATTGATATTGAAAGTTGGTGCTTCAGACATCATTCGAAATTAAAAATCTCCATATTGTTGATGAAAATGTTTTAGGATTAGATCGTTATAATGGTAGCAGAGCTCTAAATATACTGAAAGCCACTGAATTGTATACTTTAAAAGAGCGGATTTTATGGCGTGTGAATTAATTCTTAAGATGTTTAGAAAATCTTTCTATGAAGCAAGTATACTGTTGATATCAATACTTAATAGTATTATACACAAAAAGCAAACTGTAGATGAATTTCACTTAGCAGCATCAATAAAAACTCCAAACTAATAATCAGAAAAAAATAATCCCATACTGTAGTTCTTTCAGGGTAAAGTTGATACAAGCTCACTTAAAGCATAAGCTATTGTTTTACAGCTTGTTTAATTTTGCAGAAATTTCATTTCTCACTAATTAAGTTTAGCCCCAAAAGGTGTGAATAGGGAAGTAAGGCAAAATTGATTGTGGTTAGGGACATGAGTCTACAAAGAATTTTGGGAAGATTCTGACTGAAAAAGAAGTGGGTAGGAAAAGAAGAATGAAAGCTACAAGAATGATCATTTTCTGATTTTTCATAAGTTTTGGGTGGAACCTGATACCTAAATTAATCTTGTATAGTGAGGGGTCACTAAGCATGATACCTCCTTGTTACAGAGGCATGGAAGAGTTACCAGGTATTGGTAATAAAGATGTTTAGTTAGCCTTTTGGAACAAGCATGAGCTCTAAGAACCACTCAGGAATCTCCTTTACATGCTCCCCTTTTGCATTTTATCCTGAAGGTCAGAGGTTTAAATGAGTCTTTTTTTGGGGTTATGTGGCTGTTGGCAGAATGGCAGAAACTGGAACCCAAACCATTTTATTGCCCAAGGCCGTTAATCTTTTTATTTCAGCTGTAGATTTCTTTCTTGTGATTGACTGCATTTAGTACTGTCCTATGTTCATTGAAGTTATTCCTGCTGAAGAATTGTCATGACATGTGGGTGCCAGCCAGAGCCTACTTGTGGTGGAGAGAACAGTTCTCCCTGTTGCTCTTTTAAAATGCTTTTGTTATTGTTATTAATGCCTTCCTTTTCCTTTTTTTTTTTTTGATCTTTAGGTTCTGAGTTACTTTCACCATCAAAAGAAAGTTCGGCAGGGAGTGGAAGAGATGCTTTATAGATTATATAAACCCATTCTTTGGAGAGGACTAAAGGTATCAATTTTAAGTAGTTTATCTGTGTTTAGAATGTACTGCTTGTGCTTTTGAATTTAGTAAACTCGAATTCAAAATTGTAACAAAATAGTTAAAATAAGACTGGAGACTGCTTTGTGAGATTTTTGAACACATGTTTTTTTCTCTTATTAAAGCATTTCTTGGTTCCATTTAACTGGAAATCTGGCTTGGTTTAGTGCTAAGTACACAGTTATTTTGAAGTAACCATGTTTGGGGAAGGAGATTAGAGACATGCCATAAAGCAAACCAGCTGAGGCTGTGGGTGGTCTGTAGTGCTGGCCTGGGCTGTCCAGGTCCTGGAGATCTAACAAACATACATGACTTTTTTTTTTTTTTTTTTTGGTTAATCAATGAGAGCTTGTAACGTTTCTCAGGTTGGCCTTGAACTCATGGCCTCTCCTTCTCAAGAGCCAGGACATCTGGCTGGAGCCACTGCGGCCCCCCACATGACTTTCAATGCAGATACCTGGTATCTTTAGTGAGGATGTGGGGTGACCACGTCTTAGTGACATGAAGTGGGCTTTGAAGTGAGGAAGCTTGATCTTTTCTTAGTATCTATTGACATTGAACTGAGCCAAGTTTGGTCAATTTAAATATTATAATTGTCTGTAATTTGAAAATAAATCTGTATCAAGATAATTAAAGTATTGCTTTGGGAACACTGTACTCAAGTCTTTGTGTGTTAACTCTTTGCTATTTTGAAATACTCTTCTTTTATTATTATTATAGGCCAGAAACTCTGAAGTTCGATCAAATGCTGCATTGCTGTTTGTTGAAGCATTTCCTATTAGGGATCCAAGTTTTCACGCTATTGAAATGGATAGTGAAATTCAGAAACAGTTTGAAGAGCTCTATGTACGTACTTCAGCTGGTCAAGCTTCTTACAGATATCAGCTTTGTCCAGGCTATGGCACGTACTGCTTGTGTGTCCCCACCTCCCCTGTAACAGCCGGAGCTCTGCTCCCACACGGTATGGTTTCTAAACCTGGAGTATTCTTCAGAGAGATGGCAGTTCTCCCTGGGGCCTTCTGCAACAGTGTGGACCCATGGTGTCTTTTTCTACTGTTGCAACATTTAATTATTTGTAACTGTGTGTGGTTTTAAACATTTTATGCATGTGTTTATTGTTTCCCCAGTGGAGAGATGGTGTCATACAGTGGGTAAAGCACGTGCTCTGGTGTCAGCCATGTCAGCCACCTGCTCTCTGGGGTCAGATTTTACCTCTCTCACTTAATAGGTGTGTAGTTTTGGGCAAGTCACTTAACTTCTCTGTGTCTTTCTCTGTAAGTGGAATCGGGATATTGCCTATCATAAAGGTGTTGAGTGGCATAATGACCAAACAGTGGTTATATTTCAGGGCAAGCTTACAAATAATGACTGTGGCAGTTGGTTTTTCAGATGAGGTGTTAGGATGTTAAGATGTGGCATTTATTTCTAAGGGGTATTATGAATTCTTTTCATCTGCTTAGTCTGTATTTCCTAAAACAGGGTAAGCAGTGCATATTATTTTAGGAAACAGTGTCAGCAAATTGCTATTGTAATGCTGTTGCCTGTGCTTCTGAAATGCTCCCTTTTTAAAATTTTCTAACTTACAGAAAACCTGACACGTAGAAAGTTGAAATAATAGTATAATAGGCCTGTACGGTGGCTCACACCTGTAATCCCAATGCGGTGGGAGGACTATTTGAGGCCAGGAGTTCGAAACCAGCCTGGGCAACATAGTAAGACCTCATCTCTACGAAAGGTTAAAAACAAAAAAACCAAAACAGCCTGGTGTGGTGGTGCATACCTGTGGTCCCAGCTACTTGGGAGGCTTCAGCCCAGGAGGTCAAGGCTACAGTGAGCCATGATTATACAACGGCACCCCAGCCTGGGTGACAGAGTGAGATCTTGTCTCAAAAAAAAGTAATAAATATCTGTATACTTCTTTTTGCACACACACACACACACACACATCCACACACACACACACACATCCACACACACCGATAAATGAAGTCATTAGTATTTTGCTGTGTACATTGTGTATATTTATCTACAATTCCTTTTTTTTTTTTTTTTAAGATTCCTTACTTTAAATTTTTATTTTATTATTATTTTTTAGAGCCAAAGTTGTGCTCTTGTCTCCCAGGCTGGAGTCCAATGGCATGATCATTACTTACTGTAGCCTCAAAGAGGAGGATCACCGGAACCAAGGAGGTCAAGGCTACAGCAAACCATGATTATACCATTGCACTCCAGCCTGGGCAATAGAGCGAGACTGTGTCTCTTATTTCAAAAAAATAAAAAAACTATGGGCAACAAAATTTTAATTTCATGTCATTTTCACATGTCATAAAATGATAGTTTGTTCATTGTTTCCAATCATTAAGAAATATGAACCATTCTTAGCACTGTAGGCTGGGTAGGAGCAGGTACGGGCTGGGTCTGCCCTGCAACATTGTTCGCCAAAGCTGGCTGAGAGCTCCTGTCCCTGGTGCTGCACCTCTTAAGGCTTTAACTTGACCTTTAGATGGATATTAGGCTCTTTCATGAGGAGACTAAGGAGGTGATCTGATAAATAAGGAAGGTGATCTGATAAATAAGTGGTTATTTCCTGTGTCTTCCATGTACCTTAACTGTTCTCTCATGCTTTTTGCTCTATTGGTATTCCTTAAACCTGAGTAATATGGAGAACCTTTTTTTAGAAAATAAAAAAGGGTCTAGGTGCAGTGGCTCACACTTGTAACCCCAACACTTTGAGAGGCTGAGCTGGAGGGCTCTTTCAGCAATCCTGGGCAACATGGCAAAACCCCGTCTCTACCAATAAAAATAAAAATAATAGCCGGGCACTGTGGTGCATGCCTGTAGTCCCACCTACATGGGAGGCTGAGGTGAGAGGATTGCTTGAGGCTGGAAGGTCAAGGCTGCAGTGAGCTGAGATTGTGCCACTACACTTCAGCCTGGGTGACAGAGCAAGACCCTGTTTCAAAAAAAAAGAGGACTCAGTGTTTGTAAATAAAGAGATGTGACAGAAACAGCATTGGAAGTCATGTGCTTTCATTTTGAGTGATTATCTGGTGACACTGTAATTGCAAACAGATGTGGGCACTGAGCCCGGAGAGGATGTAGTTGTAAGGTGATTGTCCAGAATATCTTTTTATTATTTTTAAAGATTATTATTGAAAGTAATTCATAGAGAACAAAATACATAAAAACTTCTGAATCCCAAGGACAAGGCCTGAGATTCCTAAAGTTCTTTTGTATTTTTTGTTTTATTTTTGTCATCTTTTTTTCTTGCTGTTTGCTTTTTCTTTTCCTTTTTTTTTTTTTTTTTTTTTTGGAGACAGGGTTTCACTGTTGTTACCCAGACCGGAGTGCAATGGCACAATCTCGGCTCACCAAAACCTCCGCCTTCTGGGTTCAAGCAATTCTCCTGCCTCAGCCTCCCGAGTAGCTGGGACTACAGGCGCGCACCACCATGCCCAGCTAATTTTTGTATTTTTAGTAGAGACGGAGTTTCACCTTGTTGACCAGGATGGGGTCAACATTTGGGGGAGGAGATGGGGTAAATGCTTAATTTTAACTTGAAGTATTTTCTAATTTAAAAAGTAGTAAGAAAAAAAAATAGTAAGAATTCTGTTGTGTTTTTCAATGTTCCTAATAGAAAATGTCATGCATAATAAAAAAGAGACTGGAGTAATAACCCCTGTGTGCCCACAACACAGTTTTACTCATTACTGACTAATCCCAATCGATTTCTTCTTCCCCTGTCTTGAAACATTTTGGACATCCATCATATCATCTCAGCTCTAAATGGGTCAGAAGGTTTTGGTAAAAGATAATCTTTTTTTTTTTTTTTTTAAATCATGCCATGATCAAAGCTAAAGATAAATGAACGATGATTCCTTAATGTCTTGGGGTACCCATTTGTTGTTCCCATTTTCTCGTTTTGTTTGAACATTTCTCTAAGACCCATGTGCTGTGACTAACTGACATGTTGTTTAAGTCTCCTGGACCATGACCTCCCTCGCCACAATCTTGCTGTGTTTTGTTTTCTTAAAACTTGCTATTTTTGTTGTTACTGAAGAAGGCAGATTATTCTATGACATTTTCAGCAGTCTGGATTTTATAGAACCCATTCCTGTGATGCCATTAGTGTGTTTTTCTGCCCTTTGTATTTCCTGTAAACCGATGGTTAAATGAGACAGTTGATCTGATTCATGCTTTTCTTCGGGGTTTTGTTGCATGAGATTATTTCCTGGTGATGTTGAGTATTCCCATTGGGGTACTCACTGCCTCATTGTCTCCTTTTGAATGTTTAGTACCATTGATGATCATGGTCTGGATCAGTTCATTACAAGTAGAATTATTTTATTCTGGGCTCTAAGATGCATTACTACAGCGCTTTAGAATTCAAAAGATGGTGTACGTGGGCCATGCCTAATCTGAACACCTGCCATGGTCGGCTGAGTCTGCAGATCTCACTGAATGGCAGAGTTGGTTTCGAGGCCCTGCTGTCAGGGATGTGGCAAATAAGGAATCACATGTTTCTGGCTTGATTTTCTTAGATACTCTGCTTTAAAAGTGATAGCAAGTAATCTCAGGTCAAGGAATCCATATGTGTCCAGTGTTTCTATGCTCAAAGTTTCTCTGATTAAGTTACAAATCCCCAAAGTGTTCATGTGTGAAGCAGATGTTGAGATGAAGGGAATTAAGTCAAGGTTTTTAAGCCTTTCTCCCTTCCTACTTATAGAGCCTTTTAGAAGATCCTTATCCGATGGTCCGTTCCACAGGGATCCTTGGTGTTTGTAAAATAACTTCCAAGTACTGGGAAATGATGCCCCCAACCATTCTTATTGACCTCCTGAAGAAGGTGACTGGGGAACTGGCATTTGACACGAGCTCAGCTGATGTTCGTTGTTCTGTCTTTAAGGTAAGATTTTTAAAATTATGTAAGTAATGTTTATTTATTGTAGAATAATTAGAAAAACAGAAAAAGAAAAAGATTAATATAATAGCTGTAATCCTACTCCACAGAGATAACATTTTTGACATTTTGTTGTATATCCAACGTAAGGTTTTTAAAAACCAAATTAAAAGTGTTTTCTACAAAAAATGACTACTTGAACTAATAGTTTTTAGTGTAAGGAGGGAAGGGGTCCCAGTACTGTTGAATTTATTCTTTTTTGTCTCTTTGTGCAATGTCTTGCAGAAATGTGCTTTGCATAGAACCTTGTACATAGACTATATTTGGATTCACTTGACTAATTTTTTAGTATCTCCTACCCATCACCAACACCAACAGTAGCTCAAACTTTGCAAGAGGAACTCACATTTTATTTTCTAAGCAACCTGAACTGTCTTAGGTTTATAGAAATTATAATATGTAGGTTAGATGGTAGTGAGGTGGCCATTGATCTTTTCTTCCCCCTGGCTTTGGTGAGAAAATGCAAGATGGCTGGATGTGGAATGAACCAGAGGAAGGGGGCTACCCAGGTTGCAATAACAAATGCTCTTGGAGGTTGGGTTTGGAGAATCTGTAAAGCTCTCGGAGAGGCCAATTCAGAGAATTTCTTAAAGGCCTGTGAGATGACCTAAGAAGAAATGATCTCACTTTCCCACTACTGGAATCAACTGTTTAGAACCTCTGACTCTGTTCTAAACACTGTTTAGAAGCAGGTGACTTCTTCCCTCATGTGCAAAACAGACATTTTCAGAGTGGCTCTCCGGCCTTACGGCCATGACCCAGTGGGGGCTGCTGTGGATCTTCCTCCCCACTTCTCAGGAACCTGCTTGCTTATTTTCTCTCTTTGAAAAGTTTTCTGGGCTAGGTGCAATGGCTCACGCCTGTAATGCCAGCACTTTGGGAGGCCAGAGCGGGTAGACTGCTTGAGTTCATTAGCCTGAGACCAATCTGAGCAGAGTGGCGAAACCCTGTCTCTAAAAAAATACAAAAAAAAAAAAAAAAAAAAAATTAGCCAGGCATGGTGGTATGCACCTGTGTAGTCCCAGCCACTTGGGAGGCTGAGGTGGGAGGATGGCTTGAGGCTGGGAAGCGAGATTGCAGTGAAGTGAGGTTGCAGTGAGCCGAGATTGTGCCACTGCACTCCAGCCTGGGTGATACAGCCAGACTTTGACTCAAAAAAAAAAAAAAAATTTTTTTTTTTTTGTGCATGTTCAACCTCTCCTTCTCAGAAGTATCCTTCCTATAGGTTTGTAAGCATGTTTACATCTCCATCTGAGACAGAGGCTGCTCCCTCTCTCCTCATTGCAGAAAGATATTCTGAGGAGCATGTCTGTGATTGTTGAGTGATCAGACATTTGGACTGATGCCCATTGCTCTGCCGTAATTGTTAGGAACAGCCTTCTTACTCTCAAAAGAGTCTTAGTTCAGTGGTCACCTAAATGTTCTTGTCTCCATTTCCTGCTATTCCCCAGGCCACTGTAAAGCATCTTCTATGTCCACTACTCCAGTAAAGCATTTCTAGCCAAGGTTAATTTCATGTGACGGCTTCAGTAGGCTTTTTAATCTCTGAGCAGGATTCATTCCTAGAACATTCCTTTGTCCTTCTGGATGTCATTGTAAACCCACAGTCCCTCTTCTTCCTCTTTGTTTTTGGTTGAATGCTCTTATTCTTAAGTGCTGGCTGAAGAGTCAGGGACCCATGTGCTTCTTGCACCCACCTTGCTCTGAGTGCAGTTTGCATGAGGCTGGTCCCAGTTTACAGACAAACGTCTTCTTGAGAGCTCTGCTCAGGTGACCAAAAGGTAGCTCTGAGATTAAGATTATCCACAGCATGCATATTAGGAAGTGCTCCTGGGATGCACACCTGTGGAAGGGAGGGGACTTTAAGCCATGACACACCCTGGGAAGGCTTTGTGCAGACCCACAGGCAGCTCTGGAGCCAGCAGAGCCCTTTAGATTGGGCCCATGCTGATCCACCGTTGCATACTGGCTGCCCAGGAAGAAGGCATTTTCTTCAGGAGGCCATCCCCAGGCATGCTGATGGCAAGGGCAGCTCAGCAGCCCCAGGACAGCTGGGGTGAGTACTTCATTTCTGACAGGGCCTTGTTGGCATGTCTTAGCAACCACCCTGTCTCCTCTGCTGAGTTACTTCCCATCTTTTCCAAACCTGCTGCCATGTAAGAGTTTTATTTATTTTCCTCTCTCCCCCTTGCTCCTCTTTTTCTCCTTGAAGTAGTGATGCCACCTGCTGAGTTGCTGACTCGAGTGCTGTTCTTGCTTCCTCCTCCTTCACCCAAGGCCTGTCTTTCCCTTGCTGGAGTTCTCTGAAGTTCACCTCCTCCTTCCTGCTGCTGTCACCCAAAGCAGCTGTAGCTCCCTGGCCAGCTCTCTTGGTCCTGATCTTATGGTCACAGTCTGCTGCTTTCATGCTTCCGAGGGAACCCTTGCAGGGCCGCACTGAGATGCCTCCGGGCCCAGGAGGGCGCCTGTGAGGAAGGACTGGTGGGCTCTGGAGTAAAGGAAGCGTCAGCAGAGAATCTGCAGAAGAAAGATTGTAGGAGAATTAGGAGAACACAGTGTTGTAGCAGGAGTCACAGGGGCTATGGGCTGTTGGGGAGCTGGCAAGGTAGGTGGTGGAAGTGGCCAGTGAGAGGGCAGGGTCAGGGAGAGACTGGACACAGGTGGAGCAGATGATTCAAATCAGACTGCCCTTGAGCACAGAGCTTTGGAAGAAGAGCTGTATTTAAAAAAAATGATCGTTATTAAAATATACGTTTTTGGCATATTTTTATGCCAAAACTGTGTATACTTTTAACAAAAACTATGAAAACGTCCTTTCTCCTGAAACTGGATGGAGAAGGCAGTAGAGCTTAAGCAGTGCTGGAGCTCAAGGGCCCAGCCTGAGCCTTCGCCTATGTAGGAGCACCACCGGTTACATGGGTACTGTAGTCAGCTGAGAGAGCGTTTGAGTCACACACGCTGGTTCTGTTGCCTCCCATCCGCATGCAGTATTGAGTCAGGAAATGCAGATTTCTTGGACCTGGTGCCTCTGGTGACCATGTGACCAGTAGTCATTCTGCTTCTTTCAACTCAGAAATCCTCTAAAATTTAGCTAAGAGAGAGCATTGAAGATTTCTTTTATAATTGCTTTAATCTTATTTGAACAAAACAACGGATGGACCAAATAGCAGTGGTTTCAACTATACCAGTTCATTAAAAGTATGCCTTTTGGCTGGTCTGAGTGCAGTGGTGTTTACAACTAATTGATCACAACCAGTTACAGACTTCTTTGTTCCTTCTCCACTCCCACTGCTTCACTTGACTAGCCTTTAAAAAAAAAAAGTATGCCTTTAATATGAAATAGTTCTAGAAAAAATGTTATTTTCTGTAAGTATATGTATTTAACTAGTAGTTCCAGTAAAGATGGAAGCAAATGTTTTCTTTAATTAAGTTTTCCCACCTGAACCTTTCCTTGGCATGTTCTAATTTTGAACTGTTTATCTTTCTGTTGCAGTGTCTGCCAATGATATTGGATAACAAACTGAGCCACCCATTGTTAGAGCAGCTCCTGCCAGCTCTCAGATACAGTCTCCACGACAATTCGGAGAAAGTGAGAGTGGCTTTTGTGGACATGCTGTTGAAGATCAAAGCTGTGAGGGCTGCTAAGGTAGGATGAGTGGGGTTTTCTCATTTAAGACATGAGATAGGGACATGTATTCATCAACAGAAAGAAAGTACTTTTAATTCCACATTTTAAACTGATAACTGATATTCTTTGATCAGTTGTCTCTATCATAAAATTTTGTTTGTTTTGGGTTTTTCATCAAAGGTTCTAGAAATATTATCAATGTGCATTTTCTTTTCGAAAGACATTAATATAAGCACCCCCTACCTTCCATTATATTTTTATCGTGTATGAAGGTTTTCACTGCGGTATTTGGTGTGATATTTGGATACCTGGCACCTGTTGAGCACTTCTGGCGACTGTTGAGTATGAGCCATCCCCCACCCCCCTGCCCCCACACAGAATGATGGAAGGAGAGACCTGCTTTATGAGAGATACGAGTTTTGGTGTTTTTTAAACTCCTGAAGTGATTGTTCTCTTTCAGCTCTAGTTCTGTTCAGCTCTTGGCTGAGAATGTGGCTTATCATGTTCTTGACTTCATTATCATTTGGTACCATTGTGAGCTTTCTTTTTCCACACAGTATTTCTCAGAAATTTACGTCATAAGTTGTTCTGCTTTAGCACAGGATCCAGAAACGGCGTGACATGGCAGAGTATAGGGTCAACCAGACAGATTTGTATATTTGCAAGAGAAGTGGTGCTGTGTGGCCATAAAAATAGTAAGGAGGAACTTCTTGTGAGGCTTCTTTGGAAAGGCCTCTATGATATAGAAGTATATCTATATCTTAGTGTGTCTACATTGCATGTAGTATGCATTACTTTGTGTGTTTTGAGTTTTGATCTGTGAATTTTTTTGTTAGAAGAAAACAAAGAATCTTTTGAGTGATCGATGTAGTATTAATACCCAATGTCATATCTAATTGAGTTACTCTGATGCTTTTGTTGAAAATCATTGACCGTGTGTGGTCCTTTTCTGGACTCTGTCCTGTTCCATTGATTCGTTTGTTCTGTGTGGATTTTTTTTTTTTTTTGGAGATGGAGTCATGCTCTGTTGCCCAGACTGGAGTACAGTGGCGTAATCTCGGCTCACTGCAACTTCTGCCTTCTGGATTCAAGCGATTCTCCTGACTCAGCCTCCCAAGTAGCTGGGACTAAAGGCACACGCTGCCATGCCAGCTAATTTTTTGTATTTTAGTAGAGACGGGATTTCACCGTGCTCCCCAGGCTGGTCTCGAACTCCTGAGCTCAGGCAATCTACCTGCCTCGGCCTTCCAAAGTGCTACGGTTACAGGCATGAGCCACTGTGCCTGGCCTTCTGTGTGGATCTTACAGAAAGTCTTACAGTGCATATTCTCCAGCTTCGTTGTTGTTCTTTCAAAATTCTTTGGCTACTTTAGGTCCTTTACATTTCATAAAAATTTTAGAGTAATAGCCAGGTTTGGTGGCTCATGCCTCCTAGCACTATGGGAGGCTGAGGTGGGAGGATCACTTGAGCTCAGAAGTGTGAGACCAGCCTGGGCAACATAGTGAGATCTTGTCTCTTAAAAAAAAAGAGAGTAAGCATGTTAATTTTGTTGTCATTGTTTTTGAGACAGAGTCTTGCCCTGTCACCCAGGCTGGAGTGCAGTGGTGCAATCTCCACCTCTCGGGTTCAAGTGATTCTCCTACCTCAGCATCCTGAGTAGCTGGGACTACAGGCATGTGCCACCATGCCCAGCTAATTTTTTTGTGTGTTTTTAGTAGAGACAGGGTTTCATTATGTTGGCCAGGTTGGTCTCAAGCTCCTGACCTCAGGGTGATCCACCTGTCTTGGTCTCCCAAAGTGCTGGGATTACAGGTGTGAGCCACTGCATCTGGCCAAGCATGTCAATTTTAATAAAAATAGTGGCTGCAATTTTTTAAAGAGCCTATTAAAACTGTAGTTTTGTGCTTTGACTCTGTTGGTTGGAGTGTAAATTAGTTCAACCATTGTGGAAGACATTGTGGCAATTCTTCAAAGACCTAGAGGCAGAAATACCATTTGACCCAGCAATTCCATTACTAGGTATATACCCAAAGGAATTCAAGTCATTTTATTATAAAGGTATATGTATGTGTATGTTCACTGCAGCACTATTCACAATAGTAAGGACATGGAGCTAACCTAAATGCCCTTCAATGATAAACTGGATAAAGAAAATGTGGTACATATATATTATGGAATACTGTGCAGCCTTAAAAAGGAACGGGGTCGTGTCCTTTTCAGGGACTGGATGGAGCTGGAAGCTATTATCCTCAGCAAACTAATACAGGAACAGAAAACCAAATATCGCATGTTCTCACTTATAAGTGAGAGCTGAATGATGAGAACATATGGACACATTGTAGGGAATGACACATACTGGGGCCTGCTGGAGGGTGGAGGATAGGAGGAGGGAGAGCATAAGGAAGAATGGCTAATGGATGCTGGGCTTGATACCTAGGTGATGAGATGATCTGAGCAGCAAACTACCATGGCGTGCATTTACCTATGTGACAAACCTGCACATCCTGCATGTGTACCTCTGAATAAACGTTGGACCAGAAAACAAGTAGACTTTCTGGCAATTATTGGAGAAAAAACACCTTTCTGTGAATATTTTTAATTTTTTTGTTTTAATTTTTAATTTTGAATTTTCAAACATACATAAAAGCAGAGAGACTAATATAGTGAATTAGATGTACTCATCACCCAGCTTCAACAATTACTGGTAGGTACGACCTTGTTTTATCGAAACCTTATCCAGGCCATACTGCCAGACTATTTTGAAATAAGTCCCAGATGTTATGTTGTTTCCTTTGTATTTCAGAATGTGTCTCTATAAGATAAGCACTTAAAAACCACTCTACCATCATTATACAAAAAACAAAAGAGAAACTCTTCAGTAAAACAAAACAAAACTACCTGCTAGTAGGTAAGGAAGGCAGAGAGACACAGGGTCTCTGGCCAACCAGGGAGTTTGAGTGTCAGAGCAGAGAAAGAAGGCATAACGTTTGCATTTCAGTCCTTACCTCTGCAAGTACAAGGCAGGGAGCCATTTGGTCATGGAAAGGTTTATGATGGGCATGCAAGCTGATTTCCCTTGAAAGTTAAGGTTATGGAATGACATGCGTGCAAAGAGGCAGTCTGACTGGCCAGAGGGCAGCTGTTGGATCTGACTGGAGGGCATTGTCTATGGGCAGGAACGACCTGGCAGCATGAAACCAGGCTGCTGGGCCTGGCGTGCACACCTCAGTAACTGGTGTGTTGGCCCAGTGGAGGGTCTTGTATATGCAGCTCTAGAAGGAATGAGAGTTACACCTTCTCTTTGTTTCCTTTGTTAGCTGTGGTAGGCCTGGGCTGCTGAGCTGAGCCCAGTGGTCCAGGACATGTCAACACTCTCCCTTCAATTTATTGTCCTCTTTTAAATTTTTTTTTGAGTCTCACTGTGTTGTCCAGGCTGGCCTCAAACTCCTGGCCTCAAGCAATCCTCCTATCTTGGACTCCTAAGTTGCTGGAACTACAGGCAGGATCCACTGTGTCCATCCAAAGTCTACTTCTTGTACAGCAGTGTGTGGCCCGTGCAGCTCTGATCCATGCATTTGTATGATAGTGAAAGGCAGCATGACAGACTAGATAAAAGTGCTGTGATCTTGTGCTTAATCACTCTAAGCCCTGCTTCTTAACTGCAAAGTGGGGATACTAATATTTATGCTGGGGGTGGTTGCAGAAATAGAGTAAATAATGGCTCAGACATTTTGTTCTACGCTTGACATCCTCAGGTGTTTCCAGAAAGGTTGATTGCCAACAGCACTGTCACCTGCAGGCCTGCTGGTGCCATGTTAAGGGCTCAGTGTCTTACTCTCAGGAGTAACCACCTGTTCGGGCTGGAGCCTGTGGCCAGGGGGCTTTTGTGTGTTGGGATGGGCAGAAGAGGCCCAGGGTGGAGGTGGACAGAGTTGTTCTCTGGTTATAATGTGAGTCCTAGTGTTTTTCACTTTCTTGTTCTCTTAAACCTTGACAGCACAACCTCTCACCCTTAGATAACAGGTCTCCAGTCCCTTAATTTCCAAGGCTTCAATCAGGTTTGGCAGAAGATTCTTGTCCCTGTGGCTGTGGTTGAGAGCTGCAAACTTTGGCTCTGTGGCTGCTTGAAGTACTAGGGTAATGCTCAATTCCAATGCTAGAATGTGAGTAAAATGCCCAGTGTGGGATTTGGGGTTACTGTCTTTACTATAGTAAGTTTTTCAGAAATACCAAGAAGTGCCTGAGTGGAATTATCTCAGGGGCACTTCAGGAGGCAGTAATGACAGTGTTGGATACTGCAGATTTTGTCTGAGTTGAGGGTGTACATATGTCTATTTGAATTTGCAGTACGTGATCATGACCTTGGCAAACAGCTTCAGTGAGGGTGTACTGCAGTGTCCATGGGGCAGGAGGTGGGGTCTGGAGGTGGAGGTGGCGTGCAGGCACACTTAGGAGCAGGTCAGTTGACAACGGGAAGGGAAGGTGAGAGCCACGAGATGGGAACCTCAGGTTGAGTTTTGTGTGTGGATTTTTGTTCTAAGAGTTGGGATGATGTGAAAATACTTAAATGCTGATGAGAAAGATCCAATTGAAAATACCAGGCACGGTGGGCCGGGTATTTTCAATTGGGCCGGGCGTGGTGGCTCAAGCCTGTAATCCCAGCACTTTGGGAGGCCGAGGCAGGTGCATCCCGAGGTCAAGAGATCAAGACCATGGTGAAACCCCGTCTACTAAAATCTACAAAAATTAGCTGGGTGTGGTGGCACGCACCTGTGGTCCTAGCTACTTGGGAGGCTGAGTGAGGCAGGAGAATTGCTTGAATCCAGGAAGTGGAGGTTGCAATGAGCCGAGATTGCACCACTGCACTCCAGCCTGGTGCCTGACAACAGAGCGAGACTCTGTTTCAAAAAAGAAAATACTAGGGATTGGTCCTTGGAGCAAGGTCTATGAGAAAAATGCAAGGTTGAGGGTTTCGCCCGCCATGCAGGTAAGGAGCCTGAGGCCAGGGCTTGATGTAATGCCTTTCAATTTTGCTTTGTCTTGTTCTGTATTTTTCTCTTGTCTTGAATTTCTTGTGCAGAAGATTGATGCTTGCTTTCTGTAGGTGCTTCGAATGCTTTTGAGAAGAGGGACACTATGATCAGTTCTGATTTTTGCAGACTGTCTGGAGGCTGCACGTGAGATGGATTGAGGGAGATGAGACTAGGCTGTGGGGGTCCATGATGATCTGGGCAGGCTTATCTCAGAGAAGGAGCCACTGTGCATGGGACAGGCAGCCCGGGGGTTCAGGAGTGATACCCCTGCCTCTCAGATGGGAGATGGAGTGTCCATGTCAAAAACTTTACATATGTTTTTACTCACTTTTCACAGTAATGGGCCAAAAGTTAATATACTTTAAGAAATTTTAAAAAATATTAATTGATAATCATAGCTATCATTGGAGAGTTTCCTGTATGTCAGTCATGGTGCTAAGTAATTTTAACTAACTCTCTCAGCAACCTTGTACTTGGGTGCCTTATATAATAGTACTTGTAAAACATAGATTTGTTAATTCTAATTTCTCTACAGAAAACTCACAGATTCTGATATAGTCATTTGAAGTGAATTTTCTTGAATATAAAAAAATTAGTTCCTTTTTTTGTTACGCTCTGGAAATTTTGCTTAAGCTGTTTCTAAGGTTACAGGCACAAGTGATTATTTCCTTCGGCATATGTGCTTTTTGCACAGTTTTGGAAAATATGCCCCATGGAGCACATTCTGGTTCGTCTGGAAACTGATTCTCGACCCGTGTGTCGGCGCCTGGTGAGACTCATCTTTAATTCTTTCCTGCCTGTGAATCAGCCAGAGGAGATCTGGTGTGAGCGCTGTGTCACACTGGTGCAGATGAACCACGCCGCTGCCAGGAGGTTTTATCAGTATGCCCACGAACAGACCGCCTGCACCAACATAGGTAGGGAGCACTGCTGTTTCTCAGTTCTTGTTATGTTTTCCCCCAAAAGCATAATACAGCTTACAGAGTTCAATATTTGTCATTTTAATAAGCTTCATACTTTAATGCGTTTCTTAATGATTTCCCTTAAAATAGTATTTTTTAACTAATTGGGATTATAATTATATATTATATATTGGGATTATAATTATAACTATCAGATAGTTACCTTTGCAGAAGAAACACATCCATTAATTTTTGTTTATGTTAAACATTTCAGCAAAGCTGATTCATGTTATTCGTCATTGCTTAAATGCCTGTATCCAGAGGGCAGTGAGAGAGCCTGCGGAGGATGAGGAGGAGGAGGAGGAGGAAGAGGAGGAAGAGGACGGGAGGGAGAAGGAGAACATGAGCGTGAGTAGAGCAGGGCCAGGCTGGGCAAACACTGCATCAGTGCCATCACTCCCGTGGGCTGTTATGTTAGGAATATTCCTGTTTTTTCTTTGTTTCTTTAGTACTGTTAATTAAACAAGTTATTTTGGAAGGTCATAAATAATGTTTTTGAAAGAATTGCTATGTATCCTTTGTAGTTCATTTTGGAGGTCAGGTAGGACTTAATACAGAAGAAAAATTCTTAGCAGTCACATCTTGTCCCAGATTTTCTTTGCCCTAAATGTCTCTGTGTGTTTCAGTTCAACCCTGGGTGTAGTGTGGCTGGATTGGATTCTGAGTACTCGCATATTTTTCAAAGTATAATTTATTAAAGGGACAATTTCTTCAGAATCCAAAGTAACCAATTATATTAGAAGAAAATAATGTTTAAGACTTAGACACACTTGTTACTTATAAGCATTACCTTAAGCTTCTAAACTCCCATGCTTATGGACATCTAAAGTCAGATTTTGGGGTCATTTTGCAATGCCCAGCTATATTAAGAAATCGGACTTTAAAAGAAAATCGCAGAACACAGTTTTGTGCTGAGGCACAGTGCTGGTATGCTCCCCTAATGGCTGGTCCTGAGCCAAGTGCTTCTGGGTCTGACCCCATGGTGTCCTGCCTAGCAAGGGCAGCAGACCGCTCACCCAGGCTCTGCTCATGCCCCATGGTGCCTTCTCCTCCATCTCCTGCCACACTCTGATAGGACACCAGTCCAGCCTCTCAGTCAGTTATGCTGGGTTGATATTGTTCACAAGGAACTTACCAAAAACATACGAGAAATTGATGTGGAATAGAGAGATGAGTTCAGCGAGAGGGAGGGCCACTTCCATCTTCACAGCCATTGGACGGGCCACCTCCCTGGGCTCACTGCACCCTCACTGCCAGTGTTCAGAGCTTCAGAGCTGGTTCTGCTCTTGGGTTTGGTAGAGTTTGAGTTTCTTTTTAGGGCTTTTCCCTCAATATACATTAGTTGTATGACAGGCCTCCACAGCAGGGATTGTTTGCAGGTCTGGCCATGTGTCTGTGCTGGTGAGTGGGCATGTCCGCTTACTGGCATGTAGCCACTATGCACTTGTGTGTGTGGCTTGCAGTGATGAAAGTGTGGGACTGCTGGCTCTGGGTAGAAGAGGAATTTGTTAGAGTGCTTTTGTGGTTTCAAATGAACATTCAGGTACGCTACCGACATATGTTCGAGAAAATGTAAGTAGGTTTATTTATTTTAAAACAAACTAAAGCCCATTATCTAGTGGTAGTCGATCATAGTCAGTCATTATTCCAGCCTTTCAGGCTGTGTTCTGCCTGCCTGTAGGGTGGAGTTGGCCAACCAGACTGCGTCCTTGCTGTGACCTGATAGGCTGGGTTTTGGCAGCTGAGTTTCAGTAGCAGTCACCTTGGAGGAAAGTAGGCTTTACCATTCCCTTTCCCCTGTATGGAGATTTGTGGTGAAAAGTGATGTCTTTCAATAAAGCAGAAGATACAGTGAAAGAAAAGACATATTTTTAAATGGGGTGTTATGTTCCTATATGGAGACAATAATTCATACGTTTTTATTTTTAGGGTTTTCTTCATATAAACTGTTTCTTTAAAGGATATAGGGTTAGTTTGGAATTTATAACCTGGGTGAGCATTTAAAAATAAATTTACCTCCCTAGGAGATTCTAAAGTAGAGAATAAAAGACATGAAAATCAGACTGATAATCTTTACATTTTTGCTTGAGAGCTGTAGTTCCTAGATGCTATCTTTTAATAGTTGTTATGATTAGATTCTTTCATAATACAATTATTTTTATTTTAGGTTCTGGACAAAACACTGTCAGTAAGTGATGTTGCATGCATGGCAGGTTTACTAGAAATCATTGTGATTCTCTGGAAAAGTATTCACAGAAGTATGGAAAATAATAAAGAGGCCAAAGTTTACACCATTAACAAGTTTGCCTCTGTGCTTCCAGAGTATCTGAAAGTATTTAAGGTAAGTCTTGAACTATACTTGTAAGCAAGGTATATTAAAGTTATGTTTGTTTAGAATTTAGCAAAAGTTCTCTAACACGTTTACCTCCCTGGATCTGTTTTCTCACCTGTAAAATGAGAGGGTTGGACTAGCGCTTACCTTCCAATAGTTAATTTCTCTCACTCCTCTTGAGGGTGGAGACCTCGTATCTCTTTTTGCTTCCATATCCTCAGCACCCAGGGAAATGTCTTGGGTAAGCACTTGATTCTTCTGCCTCTAATGGTCAGCGACAGTATTTCAGAATTAAATTTGATTCGCAGGGGTTTGAGAAAGAATTTTGTGAACACGGACGTACAGCAGTACCCAAGTTTTGTGGGCAGTTTTACTTAGGCACCTGAAGGCACCCAGTAAGCAAATATGTCCTTGAAGTATTTGAGTTGTGTGTGTTATTGGGGCAAACAGTTGTGTGTGTTTCTTTTTTTAAAAAAGATTATTTATTTATTTATTTTTTGAGATGGAGTCTCACTCTGTCACCCAGGCTGGAGTGCAGTGGCAAGATCTCGGCTCATTGCAACCTCCGCCTTCTGGGTTCAAACAGTTCTCTTGCCTCAGCCTCCCGAGTAGCTGGTACTATAGGCCCACGCTGCCAGGCCTGGCTAATTTTTTATATTTTAGTAGAGACAGGACTTTGGACCACCTAGCTTTTCTAACCCTGTTTGCATGACTGTCAAGACTCTGAGCTTCATTCTGCTTTCTGACGTGAAAGCATGGCCTGTCCACAAAAGCAAATCATCTCATTGTCAAGTTGTATTAGTCTGTTTTCATGCTGCTGATAAAAGACATACCTCTGACTGGGTAATTTTTTATTTTTTATTTTTTTGAGACGGAGTTTCGCTCTTGTTACCCAGGCTGGAGTGCAATGGCATGATCTCAGCTCACCGCAACCTCTGCCTCTTGGGTTCAAGCAATTCTCCTGCCTCAGCCTCCCGAGTAGCTGGGATTACAGGCGCACACCACCATGCCCAGCTAATTTTTGTATTTTTAGTAGAGACGGGGTTTCACCTTGTTGACCAGGATGGTCTCAATCTCTTTACCTCGTGATCCACCCGCCTCGGCCTCCCAAAGTGCTGGGATTATAGGCTTGAGCCACCTATAATCCCAGCACTCAGACTGGGTAATTTTTAAAGAAAAAGAGATTTAATGGACTCACAGTTCCATATGGCTAGGGAGGCCTCACAATCATGGGAAGGCAGAAGGCATGTTTTACATGGTGGCAGGCAGAGAGAAAAATGAGAGCCAAGCAAAAAGGACTTTGATAAAACTATCAGATCTTGTGAGACTTATTCACTACCAGAACAGTATGGGAGAAACGAACCCCATGATTTAGTTATCTACCACTGGGTCCCTCCCGTAACATGTGGAATTGTGGGAGCTACAATTAAAGATGAGATTTGGGTGGGGACACAGCCTAACCATAATTTACTGGTAGATGGAAAAGCTCATTAGCTGGGCATGGTGGCTCATGCCTGTAATCCCAGCACTTTAGGAGGCCAAAGCAGGAGTATTGCTTCAGGTTGGGATTTAGAGAACAGCCTGGGCAACATAGCAAGACCTCATCTCTACAAAAATTTTAAAAAATTAGCTGGGCCTGGTGGCATGTGCCTGTGATCCCAGCTATGTGGGAGGCTGAGGCAGAATTGCTTGAGCCCATAGTTTGAGACTGCAGTGAACTGTGATCACTCCAGCCCTGGCAGCAGACTGAGACCCTGCCTCTTTGAGAAAAAAGGAAGAAAGCTGAAATAATGACCTGGGGCTGAGAAACCAGCATTATTTCAGATTATGAACAGAAGCCCATATAGGACACCAGGTAGGTTGGCAGGTAGGGCAGCTGTGGCCTTGGGGTCTTTGAAACCCTCAGAGTGTCTTGGATTCAGTTAATTCTGAGTATGTCTGGTAAGAGGCCTCTCCACCACTAGGGAAAATTGCTTCCTTTTCTAAGTAAAGAGATGATGGCTGAGCCACACAGATGGAATTGGCCATCATTATCAGTCTACTTGTAACATTAAGGAAATATTTTCTCCCCTGTTGTTAATTGGGGGTAAGGGTGGGATCACTGTGAATGCAAAATAATTACTAATCAAATTTTGATTTTGGTCTGTTTCTGTTTCATGTATATTTTCAGGGAAATTATTATTTTTAAGATCCACCATGTCCTCATTCTCCTAGCCAAGAATATCTCTTATTGAGTTTTCTTGATGAGAGCTGAACGGACCCCTGTTTACCTATTGTTTTAATAATAATGATAATATAGCTGCATCTTACTAAGCAGTTAGGACACTGCAGGTTCTGCACAGGGTTCTGTGTGGTGCAGCTCACTTACTTCTTCCAGTAGCCCCGTGATTTGCTTTGCAGAGGAGGAAACTGACTCTGAGAGCTTCACTGTTCTCCTCTGTGCTGTCGGCTGTTGGGCTGTAGAATCTGACTGGGTCTAGATTTGGCTTAGTAGCCTCAAAGCTTACATTTTGTTTGTTTGTTTGTTTGTTTTTGAGATGGCAGTCTTGCTCTTGTCGCCCAGGCTGGAGTGCAGTGGCACAGTCTTGGCTCACTGCAACCTCTGCCTCCTGGGTTCAGGCGATTCTCCTGCCTCAGCCTCACAAGTAGCTGGATTACAGTCATGAGCCACCAATGTTGGCCAGGCTGGTCTTGAACTTCTTACCTCAGGTGATCCTCCTGCCTCAGCCTCCCAAAGTGTTGGGATTACAGGCGTGAGCCACTGTGCCTGGCCCTGTATTTTTTTTTGTTAGATGTAATTTGCGCTATTGCCCAGGCTGAAGTGAATGCTTACTGTAGCCTCTAACTCTTGGCCTCATACCATCCTCCTACCTCAGCCTTCCAGAAGGCTGGGGTTACAAGCATGGGCCACCACGCCCTACTGCATTGTCCATTGAACTATATTGTCTTCCAAAAGAATTCTGATTTTGTTTTATAACATTTTCTGTGATTAGTTTCTTTCTCTTGAGATTTATGTTCATGATACCAAATGTATAGACTTAATTTTTTTTTCCTTTTATCAGTGTTGTTTTTTAAAGTATATTTAACTCATGACAGCATATGATTTTGTTTATTCTGCTTACTGGCATATTCCCAGGGTCTAGATTGGTACTGGGTATATAGCAGGTGCTTAATAAATATTTGAAAATAGTAAAATGTTATATAAAATTTCTGTAACACTTATCAAATAATTTTCTCTGCCTCTCAAACATGAGGCTGGTTTAAGTTTTTCCTTTGAACATGGAAAGGACTACCATGACTCTTCTTGAGCAACTTTGATAGTAAGTTATTAGGAATTTATGTAGAGAGGCTTTTAGAATTTATAGTGTTTACAAACTCTGTTTTGTTTTTCTTTTTATGCTCTTAGGATGATCGCTGCAAGATCCCTTTATTCATGCTAATGTCCTTTATGCCGGCTTCTGCTGTCCCTCCATTCAGGTATTTGCTCTGTTTTTCAGTACAGTTGTAAAGTAGGAATCCTGTCCATTGTTGTGCTGAATTATTAACTCATGTCAGCAGACCACAGCGTTTAGCTTTCAGCTTACTGTGGCTTCTTCCTTCTGCCCTTCCCTCTCCCTGTGGTAGGGAAAATATCAGGATGTGATTTTTAATGGGCCCTAAGTTGGTACATGATAAAAGAAGAGACTGCATGGAACTGAAACTGTTACTCCACTTAAATCTGGGGTTATTCTTAGCACTTGGTGTGGCAGGTTCTGGAGCACAAGGCCACCGTTGGTCACATGTGGCTCTGAGCACCTGGGCTGTGGCTGTGTGAGCTGAGTTGTGCTGTGAGTACAAGATACACATGGAGTCAACCTTCGTGCAAAAAGGAGAATGTGAAATATTGATTACATGTTAAAATGATATTTTGGATAGATTGGATTAAATAAGGTGATGTTATTGAAATTAGTTTCACCTCTTTCTCTTTGTATTTTAAAATGTGGGTACTAGAAAGATTTTAATTACATTTGTGGCTTGGCTTTTGTATCTCACATAATATTTTTTATTAGAGCTCTACAGTGTTGGTGATTATCTCAGTAAAAATTATTTTTATTCATATTTATGGAAGAAAAAATATTTTGAGGAAAAAATTGTTCTTCAGGGGTAGGAACTCTTGCTCTAGAATCTGACAGATGGCACAGAAAGACAAGGGCTTTGTGTAGCTGAGGCCCTGCTCCTTCTGCATCCAGAGCTGGTCTCAGGTCTTGTGGTGGGATGCAGCTGTGCAGCCACTGTGGGAAACTGTATTTATTCCTGCATTGGAGAGCATGGAATTTCTAATACAATAACAAGGGCTTATGCACCCTCAAGTTTTAGCTTCTTGATTTTCTTCACCTTTTGAGAAAGTGGGGGAGTTACTGTTGAAATACTTCATCTGATTTTCCATCTGGCATTTTCAGCTGTGGTGTGATCGCCACTCTGAGAAGCCAGGAGGAGGGTGCTGTGGACAAGAGCTACTGTACTTTGTTGGATTGCCTCTGCTCCTGGGGGCAAGTGGGCCACATTCTGGAGCTTGTTGACAACTGGCTGCCCACAGAGCATGCCCAGACCAAGGTAAGTTCACCACATGTTTCTCTAAAATTGGGTGAGTGAGAATAACTGTGTATTAGAAATTATATGCTTTTCTAGGGACGTGTCTTTTCATTATCAGTTTCTCTCTCTTTCTTCTTTCAGAGCAACGCAGCTTCTAAACGCAGGGTCCAGATCCATGACACACGCCCAGTCAAACCTGAATTGGCATTGGTCTACATTGAGTATCTGCTGACTCATCCAAAGAATCGCGAGTGCCTGCTCTCTGCTCCTCGGAAGAAACTTAACCATCTTTTGAAAGCCCTTGAAACGTCAAAGGTGACTGTGCCCTGACAGTTGAGTGGTTTCCATGGTAGTGGGAGGTGGTAAATCAAGATGTGAAGCTATCATATTTACAGTGCTATACAAGTGTTCTGGCTGGAACAGACTTGAGAGTGATCATGTCACCTCATTGAGTTGGTACAAGGCACAGAACCTGGCCGGGACAAGGTTGGGAGTCAAGTCTCAGTTGACAAGTGTCCAGAACTCTTGCATTTCTGTTGCACCTTCTAGGGTGCTAGGACTCAGGAGGACGGCCCAAGTTCCTCAGAACACATCCTTTGCAGGAGACGTGTCACATATCCTTTCACATGAACACTCACTCCCTGCAGTCCTTGGCAATTTTTTCTGGTAATGTTTGAAGAGCATTTCTTGGGAATCCAGTATGCTCCCAGCTGTCCCACAGAGGCTGTCATCTCTTTCTGTCCTCCAGGCGCCAGACCTCTGAACACTCTGTTACACTGCCCTCAAGTGTGACTGTACCAGAAGCAAAGCGTCAGCAGAGCAGAGCCAGGCAGATGGGGAGGGTGGGGCCTGGTCATGAGGCATGGAGGGGACAGATGGTGCTGCGTGCAGGGCAGGGGCTGTGGATGGTGACATGAGCCTGCTTACCTGGCTGTACATTTTCCAACGCCAGCCAGCAGCTCACGTCCAGGTGCAGAGTCAGCAGAGACTGGGCTTCCGCAGAGTGGTTCCAGCCTGCCTTCCCATGGTTCTTGCTTTACAGGGTGTGGTGGTGCCTTGTCAGTCAACATGTGGCCCTTGGGTTTTTTCCATTACAGGCGGATCTGGAGTCACTTCTGCAGCTACCAGGTGGGAAGCCTCGTGGCTTCAGTGAAGCGGCTGCTCTGCGAGCCTTTGGTCTCCATTGTCGCCTGAGCATCCATCTTCAGCACAAGGTGCGCCTGTTCCTGGCTCTTTGTTAGGACGATACACAACGTTCTTTTTGTTACTGATTTATCTTCTTGTTTTTGGACAGTTCTGCTCAGAAGGAAAACTGTATTTGTCCATTTTGGAAGACACTGGCTTTTGGTTAGAAAGCAAAATTTTATCTTTTATTCAAGATCAAGAAGAAGACTATCTGAAGCGTCATAGAGTCATTTATCAGCAAATTATTCAGGTTAGAGGTTTTAAGACACAGAAACCTTTCTCTTTACCAAGTTTTGTTTCGGGATTTCATTTTCTACTTTAGAGTGGTAATTTTAGACATTAATGTTACTCTTCTTAAAAACATACAGTGGGCCGGGCGCGGTGGCTCATGCCTGTAATCCCAGCACTTTGGGAGGCCGAGGCGGGTGGATCACAAGGTCAACAGATCGAGACCATCCTGGTCAATGTGGTGAAACCCCGTCTCTACTAAAAATACAAAAAATTAGCTGGGCACGGTGGTGCGTGCCTGTGATCCCAGCTACTTGGGAGGCTGAGGCAGGAGAATTGTCTGAACCCAGGAGGCGGAGGTTGTGGTGAGCTGAGATCGCGCCATTGCACGCCAGCCTGGGTAACAAGAGCGAAACTCCGTCTCAAAAAAAACAAAAACAAAAACAAAAAAGTACAGTGACATGTATCTAACTCTCTAGAGTTTATCTTTTCACAAAGCATAAACTGCATAATTTTAGTGCAATTTTACACATTACATATAACAGGTGTTTGGTTACGTTTGTGGAATTACGTAAAATGTGTCTCTATATTTCCTATGAAAACAACAAGAATTAGTGTATCTTTATGAAAATTCCTTTATAAAACATCTTTGTAAATCTGCTCTATAAGATAACTAGCACGTGGCTAGGAGAAGCTTTGTGAGGCTGGATTTATTCCTTTTTTTAAATGACCTTTGGGGCTGGGCACGGTGGCTTAGGCCTGTCATCCCAGCACTTTGGGAGGCTCGAGGTGGATGGATCACAGGGTCAGGAGATTGAGATCATCCTGGCTAACACGGTGAAACCCCACCTCTACTAAAAATACAGAAATTAGCTGGGTATGGTGGCATGCGCCTATAATCTCAGCTACTTGGGAGGCTCAGGCAGGAGAATCGCTTGAACCCGGGAGGTGGAGGTTGTAGTGAGCCAAGATGGTGCCACTGCACTCCAGCCTAAGTGACAGAGTGAGACTCTGTCTCAAAAAAAAAAAAAATAAATAAAATAAAATAGAATAGAATAAATAGCCTTTGTTGCTAAGTTGTGTCTGTTTCTTACAGACCTACCTGACTGTGTGTAAAGATGTTGTTATGGTAGGCCTTGGTGACCATCAGTTTCAGATGCAACTTTTACAGCGGAGTCTCGGGATCCTCCAAACAGGTACAGTAAGGGGTGTTTTACAGCAATAAATACGCAGAGCCAGTCCTTCCTTCCCTCCCTCCTTTACTGTGTAACTCAGAACTTTCACTTTCAAGTGACTGTTATTAATGCAGCCGAGTATATACCAAAACAAGGGTTTATTGGGTGATGCAGCCAGGAAATTCAAAGGTGTTTCTGTGTTAGACACGATTGCATCCGGAGTCTGTGACAGGATTCTTGGTATTCTGCCTCTCCTTGTGGTCAGCTGCATTGACAGGCTGACTTTTCCTGTGGGTTGGGCCACTGGCTATTTCCTGGCATCTGTGTGGGAAACCATCACCTTTTGGCTCTGTTCTGGCCACATGCTCCTGTGGGTGGGGGTGTGAGTCAGAAATTGTCAGGTGATACCCCACCAAGACCCAAGGAAAGGGTTAGCATAGGGTAACCCATGGCAACAGTGAGTGAGAGGACAGCCTTTGAGTCCCATCAGATGATGATGGGAAAGGGTGTGGGGACCAACCGAGGGGGAGTGCACCTGGGGCCATTCCATATCTCCTTGGCCTTCTGATCACAGTCTGGTAAAGAAGAGTACTGCTGAGCTGGGCCCCTAGCTCCTAGCCCATATTCCCTCACCCCTAATGGCCAGCCTCCCACCCCCCTGCTTCTGTGGTGTAGCCGACTGCTGCGTAAACTTGTTTCTGGTTGGTTTTTAAATCAGTATCCCAATATCCCAGTGCTGCATTTGATTCTCACTGAGATCTGTAAAAGCTTCAACATTTGATGTTGACATTTCTTTTCTTTTTTTCCTTCCTTCCCTCCCTCCCTCCCTCCCTCCCTCCCTCCCTCCCTCCCTCCCTCCCTCCCTTCCTTCCTTCCTTCCCTTTTCCTTCCTTCCTTCCTAACTTCCTTCCTTCCTTTTTCTTTCTCTTTCTTTCTTTCTTTCTTCTTTCTTTTCTTTTCTTTTCTTTCTTCTTTCGTCTTTCTCTGTCACCCAAGCTGGAGTCAGTGGTACGATCTTGGCTCACTGCAACCTCCGCCTCCCAGGTTCAAGCGATTCTCCTGCCTCAGCCTCCCGAGTAGCTAGGATTACAGGCACCCACCACCATGCCCGGCTAAATTTTGTATTTTTAGTAGAAACGTGGTTTCACCATATTGGCCAGGCTGGTCTTGACCTCATGATCTGCCCACCTCAGCCTCCCAAAGTGCTGGGATTACAGGCATGAGCCACCGCACCTGGCCTGATGTTGACATTTCTTTAAGTCTAGTTATTTGCCAGAAGAGATTGAAAATGATAACATTTAGTAAATTCAACATTGTTTTAAAAATTATATTAAGTTGGTAGTCCAGTTTTAGTGGATACATATGTAGTCTCTCTCACGTAGCCTTAAATATCTTCATGGCAGACTCCAGAGGGGTCTGTGTGTGGTCACCCCCAGTGTATCTCTCTTCATGACATAGCAACTGAAGTAGCTGCTAGGACAACACTGGAGCCAGGATACTAGGCATGTCTTAGTTCATCTTTAATTTTTTTCCCCCCATTCCTTTAAACTTTATTTGTATGAATAAAAGAACTTGAGACAATTTAGCTCAATGTTAATGTTTCCCAAGCATTATTTTGACCAGGTACCCTGGTTTAAGTTATGAACATTGACAGTGTCCATTATATAACCACACTTGAAGTTATTAAGGACTTAACCATTTTCTAATATTAGCCTATTTTCTACACTGCTTTTTCACATGTATGCCCATTAACAAATGGAATGTCTGTCACATTTATTGGTTTGTGAGTGTTTCTGGAAAACTGCAGTATGTGTGAAGACCAGTCTCCATGCTGGCATTGCATGCATCCAAATATTAATGCACAGAGGCACAGAATTAGAGCAACACGAGAGCATATTCAAACACCAGCATGCCCATTCCCCTTGTTATTGCTTGTTTTGCTTAGTACTTCTTAAAACAAAACAAAGAATCTTGAATTCAACGTTCACCTACCAAGAAAGAATAACAGCAGGGCACATACTCAGGGATCGAATGAAACTGTAAGTACTAGCTGGCGCAAAACAGTAGACATTGGTTTATATTAATATATATATATGTATGACCTTAGTATCTAAAACTCTTCTCAACCAGGGCCTTCCAAACAAATTGGTAACAATATGATTTATGTTGAAATATACACAAGAAGTTACAATGTATTATTTGGGAATTTAAGAACTTGGACTATCCAAATTTGAATTCAGGTCTGTAGGCAGTCAGAAGCTTGTACTAAGCAACTGTGCTATATCTCTGCTGCAGTTAGGTTACTTTGGACAGTTATACCTAAACTATCCTTGGTTTCATCCAGCAAAATGTATAGGGTACAAACAGGAAAGCATGCCAGCCAGTTAGGGGTTTAATAATGCATGAATTTTATTCTCTGACTCTGAAAACTTACACACACACACACACACACACACACACACACATATATATAAATTTAAACTAAGGAAAATAATTGATGATTTATGGGCTTCTTGTGCTTTAAAAAAGAAAAAAAAGGTACCCACTAATTTGCTCAGATATAGCAGGCTTAATGGTCCTATATTTTGAAAAGTTTTTAAGAATGGTTTCTAATGTAGGAGAGGGAAAACATCCACTACCCCTTTTCTGAATTTAAATGGAGGGTAGTAAACATTCTTTACACCCAAAACCTATGGCAGCAGTTCAGATTTGGCCAAGGTAAACGTAGAATGGAGATGTTCTAAACACAGCTAGGATTCAGCAAGTCTAATACACTAAAATCATATGATTACATTTTAAAAGAAAATGCACAAAAACCAAATAGAAATTTTGAGCTTTTTTTCATTTGAAGGTAATTTTAATGCTATTAAATTCACAAATGCTAATTTAAATACCCAATCCTATTTACCTAAAACACACATATATCTGTTCTCTCCACATGTCAGTGCCTATTCATATTGTGGTTTGGAAGTGGGGAGAATAGATTCCCCTTAAACTGCAAGTCAGCAGGTGTTTCTTGACATTTAACTTTAGCAAAATTCATATAAAATAGTAATTAACAATGATCTTCTTGTTAACTCACAAGGAAAGACCTTCAACACTGCATTTTGTTAAAGTTTCTGTACTAAAATGTACAAAAACTGAACTACACAAATATTGAAAAGTTAAAAATTCCTTAATTTTTTATTCCTAGTACCACTACCACAATTTACAGGGCAATATACCTGATGTAATGAAAAGAATAAGACAAAGCTACAACAGATAACGGACCTCAGGAATGTACATCTAATTGACACTACGTTGCATTAATCAATAGCTGCACTTTTTTGCAAACTGTGGCTATGACGGTCCTGAACAAGAAGGGTTTCCTGTTTAAGCTGCAGTAACTTTTCTGACTATGGATCATCGCTCCTTCTGTGGCAGGTTTTTACAGTTCCTCTAATGCATTTGGGACGACTGTCTCAAAGTAACCTGCAGCTTTCCTGACAACTCTTCGCTTGCTTTCCTGCTAAGAACTGCTGCTTTTAGAACCTTCTGCCACCATATCCACCACTTCCACCTCCAGATCCATAACCACCACAATAGGGACTGCCCGAGCTTCTTCTACCGAAACTGCCCCCTTTCATGGTTTTATAATTTGATTGCTGTTGTCCACTATAATTTCCAAAATTATTATAGTTCCCACCACCACCATAGTTACCACCGCCAAAATTTCCTCCTTCATTGTAACCATCATATCCTCCACCACTGCCACCATATCCACCACCTTGGTTTCCATATCCTGGTCCACCACCACCATAGCCCCCTCTACTACTATAACCAGGACCACCACCATAGTTACCACTATCACCAAATCCATTATATCCACCATCACCTCCTCCATAACTCCCTCTGCTGCCACATCCACCACCATAACCTCCTCTTCCACCAAAGTTTCCACCATGGCCAAAATTGCCTCCACCACCTCCAAAGTTTCCTCCGCGACCCATAAAATTGCCAGATACACCTCCACGACCTCCCTGTGATCCAGCAGACTGCATCTCTTGTTTAGAAAGGGCCTTTTTCACTTCACAATTAGCCCATTAATAGTGTATTTCTGAACAACAATTTTATCAACTGTATCATGATCATCGAAAGTTACAAAAGCAAATCCTCTTTTTTTTCCACTCTGTCTTTCGTAACTTCTATGGTTTCAATCTTGCCATACTTTTCAAAGTAGTCTCTCAAATTATATTCTTCCGTATCTTCTTTAATACCACCAACAAAAATTTTCTTCACTGTTAGATGGGCACCAGGCTTTACAGAATCCTCTCTAGCAACAGCTCTCTTTGGTTCCACTACATGCCCATCAACCTTGTGTGGTCGAGCACACGTTGCCGCACCCACCTCTTCAACACAAGAATAAGTCACAAAACCAAAGCCCCTGGAACGTTTGGTTTGGGGATCTCTCATTACCACACAATCTGTAAGTGTGCCCCGTTTCTCAAAAGGTTCTCTTAAACTATGATCTATAGTTTCAAAGCTCAGACCACCAAGAAACAGGTTTCTCCACTGCACCGGTTCCTTCGGATCATGGCCCTCCTCCCCCCGGCGGTGACGGCAAGGGCCGGAGTCCCGCTGGGTGCGACCGGGCGGCGGTTTTACCTCCATTTTGAGATCGGACTCTCCACTTCCAACTCTAATCTTTAATGATAAGCAAAATTGTACGTCATTTGTTTAACATATTTAAAATTTAAGTCTAAATATTAAATAGGCCAATAGTATTTGCTTTAGCTTTCCTAACTCCTGACCTTAAGTGATCCGCCCGCCTTGACCTTTCAAAGTGCTGGGATTACAGGCATGAGCCGCCATACCCAGCCTGTTTAATCTTTATAATTCACTTCTATTGTGAAATCAGCATTTTATACTTAAGCTTAACGATTGAAACAGTCAAAATTACTTATTTTTTAAACTTCACTAATCAACTTCACTTATCATTTAGGGATTATTTTTCCATAAGGACCAAATCTACCTTTATTATTTATGAAATTTACTTTTCTGAGAAGCTAATTATAACTAGAGTTCTATATTTCCAGTGTAGCCGTTTCATTATATAGGTATATCTGTTCTCTAAAAATGAAAGAGAACTGGCAGCACTGTTCTCTAATTCAAGTGTTGAAGGAGCCACACTGCTGAACTCCTGTATGTTCACATGTGCAATGAACACAGTTTTTAGTTTAGTGACTGAGTCTAATACACTATTACTGTTACTGAAGGTAACAGTTTTATACTTAAATTGAACAAATATCACACTTATTTATTTATTTACTTCGGTTAGAATTTAGGTTAACCTGATCAACCTGGCTTTTGGTATTGGGTCACCAAATACCAAAGAATAATTATTCCTTTTATGTTGCCATCATGTACATGTGTTAAGTGAGAAATGTGTAATGATTTCAACAAACTTGTGTGATTAGAAAACTGATGTATTTCAATTTTCTTTCCAGTGAAAGGATTTTTTTACGTTTCATTACTTCTTGACATTCTGAAAGAGATAACTGGAAATTCCTTCATTCAGAAAACAGATTCAGATGAAGAAGTAGCAGTGCTGTTGGACACAGTCCAGAAAGTATTTCAGAAAATGTTGGAATGTATCGCACGGAGCTTCAAGAAGCAACCGGAAGAAGGCCTGCGGGTACTCAGGTCTCCCTAGGACGGCTTTGCTAGATGGGCTTTTCAGGGCTGGGTACACCCATGCAGATGCATGAGCCCTGGCTCTGCTGTTCACGCTTGGGTGATGTACAGTGTTAAGTGGGCGGTCCCTGGTGGTGAGGTGCACTGAGAGAGCTGGAGCCCAGTGTATGAGTCCCCTTGGGGAGGTACACTGAGAGAGATGGAGCCTGGTGTGGGAGTCACCCCTGGGGAGGTGCACTGAGAGATGGAGCCCAGTGTGGGAGTCCCCCGTGGGGAGTTGCACTGAGAGATGGAGCCCAGTGTGGGAGTCCCCCTTGGGGAGTTGCACTGAGAGATGGAGCCCAGCGTGGGAGTCCCCCGTGGGGAGTTGCACTGAGAGATGGAGCCCAGTGTGGGAGTCCCCCTTGGGGAGGTGCACTGAGAGATGGAGCCCAGTGTGGGAGTCCCCCGTCGGGAGGTACAATGAGAGATGGAGCCCAGTGTGGGAGCCCCCCGTGGGGAGGTACACTGAGAGAGATGGAGCCCGGTGTGGGAGTCTCCCTTGGGGAGGTACACTGAGAGATGGAGCCCAGTGTGGGAGTCCCCTTGGGGAGGTGCACTGAGAGATGGAGCCCAGTGTGGGAGTCCCCCGTGGGAAGGCACACTGAGTTGGAGCCCGGTGTGGGAGCCTCCCGTGGGGAGGTGCACTGAGAGATGGAGCCCAGTGTGGGAGTCCCCCTTGGGGAGGTGCACTGAGAGATGGAGCCCAGTGTGGGAGTCCCTCGTGGGAAGGTGCACTGAGTTGGAGTCCGGTGTGGGAGTCTCCCGTGGGGAGGTACAGTGAGAGAGATGGAGTCCAGTGTGGGAATCCCCCGTGGGGATATGCACTGAGAGAGAGATGGAGCCTGGTGTGGGAGTCCCCATGGTGGACACACTGAGAGAGAGATGGTTACCCCTGTGCATTGACTGGAGGCTGTAAGGGCAGGAGCTCTAGCTGTTAGATTTTACCCAGCCATCTTAGAACAGGATCACACAAGTTCATGTTGACCAGATGGCAGGACAGGAAGCAGAGGACTAATTGCTCTAGGTTTCTGAGTACACAATTATTATTTCACAGTATTTTCCAAATAAAATATACTCTTATTTAAAAAGATGCTAATTTTGATACTTGTAGAGTGAGAGAAACCTTGCCATGTGAAATGCTAATTTCTGTCATGAGTTAACTCCCATGTTAGACTTCTCCAGGTTGGAAATGAGAGTCACAGACCTTGAAGGGGGCCTGTGGTTTCCCTTTGCTGGTTGAAAGCTGATGTGAAGTGAGATTATTGTATAACCACTTCATTTTAAAAAACCTGTATGCCAGATTTGCTTTACCCTAAAAACAATCTTTTGTCAGTTCTAGATCAGGTGATACTGTTATCAGAGGCAGCTATTACTTTTTCTAAGTAGTAGCTTAAAAATATCAATGAACTATTTTTTTTAATGAAGACTTTTAAAAATGTTTAAATGGGAGGCTATTTATGAAATATTGAAGAATCAGTGTCCTTTGCTGATAGAGGTCATTGAAGATTGTTGGCCATACTTTTGCTAGTCTATTTCAATTCAGATTAATTTGAAATGTTCCTGTTTTTGATGAATTCAAGTGTCTGTGATCTTTTATGTAATGTAATTTGTGCCAAAACCTTAGTTTTCCCATCAAACTTCTGTAGCTTTGGTCAGAATACATTGCCTCATAGCTGATGCCTTATTTTAATGTCATTAATATTTCGCCTCTCTCCCTCCTCATTCCTGAGGGTTTTTCTTGGCTTTGGGGAAAGAAAGGCAGTTCAGAACATCAGGGCAGTTCCCAGTGGGTTTTGGTCCTGTCTGCCATCTTCTGGCCATGGTGTGTAGGAGGTTTGAGTCAGCCAAGGAGTGGAAAGCAGTGGGCAGTGGCAACAGGCAGACAAGATCAGTGACTCCTTGAATCCTAGGGGATGATAGTGAGAATACTTATTTTAAAGTGTCTTTTTGTTTTTTTCAAAACCATGGTTTTTAGTGATTAAAAATGACATATGTATTTTCTTGTAGCTGCTTTATTCTGTTCAGAGGCCTCTTCACGAGTTCATTACCGCTGTTCAGTCTTGGCACACGGACACCCCTGTGCACCGGGGTGTACTTTCTACTCTGATCGCTGGGCCTGTGGTTGAGATAAGTCACCAGCTACGGAAGGTGAAGTGCTTTAATCCGGTAACTGCTGTGCCTCTCTTTGACTATGCAAGATACTGTTTCTACTAGTAGCACATTCTAACATTTCTCGAAGTATTTTCTAAGAATTCTCAAACTTGAGTGAGTGTCACACTTTCCCAGCAGCTATGCCTCAGAGTTTGATGGCAAATTAGTATTTTAGACTCATGTGACTGTTGTGAAACATACGGCAAGGATGTGATCACTCTTGATTAAAACAGAAATATAGTCCTTACATTTGAACTGTTTTTATGCCACATTCAGGAGATTTAAATGAGTTGTTAAGTGTCTTAAGGTTATTTTCCCTCCAGAAAAGTTAGAAGTAGTTGTAATCCGTGGTGAGCAGAATGCAAGGCTGCTCTTGGATTGCTTTTGTGGAATAGTTGACATATCTTTGCATGTTATATTATTAGCCTCCCCCACCTTTTTTTCATTTTTAGGCATGGGATATTCAACATTCTAATATCAATTTAAACAGACAATTTATTCATTATTAATGACTTTTATTTTCCTACCAGTAGCTGCAGATGAATTGAAGATTATTATTAATACAGAAGTTATTAGCCTATTTGGTTAAAGAGTGCTATAATCAGGATGATAATTTAAGCCAAAACAAAAAGTGGTGTTTTCCCTCATGGAATATTCAGGGTGTTCTTTTCCTTTTAACCTCGTAAGAAAGTAATAAAAGTCATGTTGGGCTTTCTCAGTATGAAAAGATAAAATTTGATAGGAAGGTCGTTGAATTATATGCATTTTTAATATTTGCATAAATCATAAATTTTATAATACACAATCATGACTAATAAAAAGATTTAACTAAATTCTATTTAGATGTTAACTAAATTCTATTTAACATCTTTTAACTAGATAAAATAACCACTAGGATTTGTTCATTCTGGTGAGCTATATAGCTAAAAACTATAAAATTATAAAAAGTGTTTGGCCTGTGGGTCCCACCTGGCTCACCATCTGTTTTGTATCAATAAAGTTATTGGAACATAGCCATGCCCATTTGCTACACTTTTTGTGACTACTTTTGTGCAGAGTTGAGTAATTATGATAGAGACCATTGCAACTTTGCCCACAAAGCTGAAAATATTTATTATATTATTTAAATAATTACTATTTTGTTACTTAACAGAAAAAGTTTGCTGACTGCTTTTCTGTTTCCTTACTAATTTTGTCTACTTACTCTATATGTGATTGTGGATTTGTCTCTTTTTTCATTAGTTCTGTCAGTTTTCTTTTCATGTATTTTCTTGTATTTGAGAGCTTTTTTCTTTTTGATGCATTGACTCCTATTACTGTGAAATGTCTCTAGCTCCCATAGTACTTTCCTCATAAAGACTACTTTGATATTTTCATAGCCAAACCAGCTTTCTTGTGCCTCATGTTTGCATAGCATATCTTTTAAAAAACCCACCCCACATGGGTAGTTTTAAAAAATCTAGTCTGACAACCTCTGACTTTTATTTGGGGTGTTTATAGTCCATTCTGTTATTTTTTTTTAGTCCATTTGACTTTAATGGATTTATCGATAGGTTTGGGTTTAAGTTAATGTTAAGTTAATGTTTGTTTTCTCTCAGTCTGTCCTGTTAGTCTTTCTGGTTTTTTTTTTCTTTCCTATCACTTTTTTGATGAATGAAGTGTTTTTAGTATGCCATTTTATTATCTCTGTTGACTTTATATTACTTTTTTGTGTAATTTTTTTGGTGGTTTCTCTAGAGATCTCTGTGTGCGTATTTAACATATCTCAGTCTATCTTTAGAAATTATGCTTGTCCATTGAATGGTAGGAATCTCCACTTGTGTTCTCCTATCCCTTTTGCTGTTGTCATGTTTTACTTCTACATGGCAAAAATCTCTAGATGTATTTTTATTTTAATCTGGCAATAATCTTTTCTCACCGTTTAAGAAATGCATTTACAACAATCACTTTAAGATGTAAAGTATTTTCATGAGAAACTGCTATTTCATATATAGTGATGATTGACTTAAATATTCAAATTTGTATTATAATACTAGCAGAGGAAGTATAGGAAGACTTATTGGAAGTGCTGTCTAGGTCAGGCGCAGTGGCTTATACATAATCCCAACACTTTGGGAGGCATAGGCAGAATAGCTTGAGGCCAGGAGTTTGAGGCCAACCTGGGCAACATGGTGAGACCCTGCCTCTGTTAAAAAATATGTGTATATATATATATTTTTTTGAGACGGAGTTTCGCTCTTGTTGCCCAGGCTGGAGTGCAATGGCGCGATCTTGGCTAACCGCAACCTCTGCCTCCTGGGTTCAGGCAATTCTCCTCCCTCAGCCTCCTGAGTAGCTGGGATTACAGGCACGCGCCACCATGCCCAGCTAATTTTTTGTATTTTTAGTAGAGACGGGATTTCACCATGTTGACTAGGATGGTCTCGATCTCTTGACCTCGTGATCCACCCACCTCGGCCTCCCAAAGTGCTGGGATTACAGGCTTGAGCCACCGCGCCCGGCCCAAAAAAAGATATTTAAAAATTAGCTGGGTATGGTAATACACGCCTGTAGTATCAGCTTCCCAGGACACTGAGGCAGGAGTTCAAGGCTGTAGTGAGCTATGATTTGTGATTGCACCACTGCACTCCAGCCTGGGCAACTCAGAGTGAGATTATGTTTCTAAAAAAAAAAAAAAAAAAATTGTTGTCTAGTCATGCCTAAATGAAATCCCCTAGGATAGCCAAGAATTGAGCCAAACACAGAGGTGAAGAGATGCAGGGGTGGGATAGGCATATTCCTGACTCAGCTTCTACAGGTGGAAAACAAAGGCATAAGCTTCCACCTGGAGCAGGAATTCTGCACTTGGACTTCCTGAGGAGCATGTGGAATTATTCCTCCATGGTGAGTGGCTCACTGAAGCTCGCAAGGCTGACAGTTAAGAGCAGAGGTCCAGGCCAGTGCCCTGGTGGCTCTAGACATGCAGTACTTCACTGTGGAGTTCTGCCCTGCAATGGACACTGCGATGTCTAGGAACATTTTTGTTTGACACAACTGGGTGAGGGGGCAGGCAGTGTGTCTCTGGCATTGAGTGGATGGAGGCCAGGGATGCTGCTCAGCCTCCTATGGCACCTAGCACAGTTCCCAACTCTCCCAAAGAACGAGCCAGTCAGGTTAATAGTGCTGAGATTGAGAAACCCTGATTTAGACAGGAGTAAAATGTTAAATTTACTTAGCATAAAAGCGCATTATTTACAGTAGATGATAACAAGATAAAGACTCTTTGACAGAAAGCTCATTGAGTGACATGTCTGTTTTTCTTTATTTTTGTCTCACTGAATAAGCATCTTCATTTATCTTTTCCTCTTTTTTATTTTTATTTTTCGTATTGAGACAGGATCTCCTTCTGTCACCCAGGCTGGAGTGCCGTGGTACATGGCTCGTTAAAGCCTCAAATTCCTGGGCTGAAGTGATCCTCCTGCCTCAGTCTCCCAAGTAGCTGGGACTAGAGGTGTGTGCCACCATGCTCAGCCAATTTTAAAATTTTGTTATAGAGGCAGGATCTTCCCATGTTGCTGGGCTGATCTCAACCTCTGGCCTCAAGCAATCCTCTTGCCTCAGCCTCCCAGAGCACTGGGATTACAGGTGTGAACCGCCACGCCCAACACACTTATATTTATAATACATTATTCATAATTATCGTAGACATTTGAACAGTTAATAAAAGTAATTGTTTTGAATTTCTGCAAAGTGTTTCTTAGGTGTTGAAGAAAACCCAAAGCAATGTAATTTACAAGTGAGTAGCCTAGTCTCCATTCACACCTTGCTGATTTGGGACTCTTTTAGGTTTCTGACACAGAAGAGCTTAGCCCTCCAGAGCATCTTTCTGATCTTCCACCATTTTCAAGGTGTTTAATAGGAATAATAATAAAGTCTTCGAATGTGGTCAGGTAATCAATTTCTGTTTACTGTCCTGAAACGCTCATCATGGCTGTAAGCTCCAGCAGCATTGTTTCTATTCCTTTTACTCTCAAGTTTCCAAAGCTACCTCTTACTGTGAGAAAAATGTTTCATATAATTTTCTCTCCATTTTATCAGTAATTAGAAATATTTACATTAAACTTACACAAAGAAAAGTTCTAACTTTCTGTAAAGAATATTTATCTAAATAGTCTCTGGTTATGCTTCTCATAACTAAAATTCTGTTAAAGGAGGACATAGTAAAATACTTCTTACCAAGTGTGCTTTCAAAACTCTTGACAAGGTTAAATACTGGCGCCATTTTCATCGAACACGCAGCTGCTACTCATTTTCCAGTCCATATGTCACTTGATGAGAGTTGCAGGGTTTGCTGTGTCGCATGCAGGGTTGACAGGTTACAGAGAGAACTGCTTTGCAGATGTCTGGTACCTGTCGAATTTTAATAGCAGATACATTCAATGAAAACTTTTAAAAGCACCATCTTTAGCATCTATGAGTCCTCTTTCAACATCATAATTACATCTTTTTTATGTGCATTGAGGGTATACAGTGTAGCCTTTTTCACTCAGCACAGCAACCCTGTTCCCAGCAGCATCTTCTGGTTTTAATGTCTCGCTGTACAATCTGGCACACTCTCCATGAAAAGCGTGGGGCAAGTTCAGTCAGCTTCCCATGTCCCCTGCAAACTGGAGTTGGTGGTTGTGGTTGAACCTTGGCTGTACTTGTTTTGCTATAAAGTATTAAGGTCTATATGATACAGTAATTTTGATGTTTGTTGATTTATTTGCAGGTCATTTTTGGATGAGTTAAAGGCATGTGTGGCTTCTGATGATATTGAAGGCATTGTGTGCCTCACAGCTGCTGTGCATATTATTCTGGTTATTAATGCAGGTTGGTTACATTTCCCCCGTCAACTGGAAGGTAGCTGGTACACCTCACAGGTGCTGTCATGGGGTGTTGGAGATCAGCCCCTGCGCTTGGCCATTCCTGGCCAGCTCAGGCGTCCCCCAGCCTTTCCACTCTCTGCCTTCTCATGTGCTGGACACAGTGCTCTCCACCTGGGCTTCCTCTCCTTAGCCCACCCTGCATCTGTTTTTATATCAATTTGCTCCCTCTTCAGTGGTGCAGGTCCTGTTCACTTTCACCTTTTGACCCCTGGACCCATTAAGTATTCCTTTCTGTGCCTCAGCATTGAATTTCCATTGATTTGATGTATTACCTGTATCTTAGAATCTGAATTTATTTTGGTTGACAATGGATGTTTTGTTGTTAATATCTGATCTATCTACTGTTTCTCCTAAGCCTTAGCCTTGCCTAGTCTGAATATTCTAACCAGTTCAAATAGTACTGGTAAAATAATTGGAGATATGTATAACATGCTTAGCTCAATGTAGTAACATTCCTGCATGTTGCCTGCCTTTACCTTTCTATATTATTTGCTCAGTTTTACTAATGTTGGAATTATTTTCAAAGGTGGTACATTGTAGATAGGGAGTGCTGCTATTGAAAGAAGCTCTCCCCATAAGTCTAAATGCATAGGATATCTGCAGATTGGTAAGAATACTTCTTAACTAGTTTGTCCCAGGTTGGGCATAAGAAAGACTTCCCTAAGGGACTCCCCCTGCATGGAAAACCTCCCCAGGAGGATGTTAAGGATGGATGTTGGGTGCTGCCAGTTGCCCTGCCTTTAATACATCCTTAAATACCTGCAATATTTAAACAAGGGAAGGACTCTGAAACAGGATTGGTTTGCTGGCGTGGACATAATGCTTCCTCTAATGGCTTCATGGGGTGAGGTCCATTTGATCTCTTCGTCCCAGTAAACGTTTGTTTGCTCTTTACAACCTCCCTGTAGAATGGAGAATTACTTTTCCACAGGTCAGTATGTAGGTTACCTCAAAGGGAAGGATAGGGAGGCTCAGCTTAGGGAAGTTGTACCATGTATGTAGCAGAGTGTTTGTGTAGTGACGTTAAAATATTTTCTGTATTTAATATAATTTTCCCAGGTAAACATAAAAGCTCAAAAGTGAAGGAGGTTGCAGCCACTGTTCACAGAAAACTAAAGACATTCATGGAAATTACTTTGGAAGAGGATAGCATTGAAAGGTAAAGCAGAGATAGTCGCCAAATGCAATCATCTAAAACTGCTCATTGTTCTTTGGGTCTGCTTGAGGTTGTGTTTTCATTTCTGCGGCCTACAGCCAGGTGATTAGGAGACTGGGGACTGTAAGGAGAGAAACGTTTCTGTTGGCAAAGACCTTTAGCTTATGTTTAATTTACTTACTAATTGTGTCTTCAAAAACAAAGCAAAACTGTCATTTGCAAGATTCTACAATTTTGCAATTGACATTGTAGAAAATCGAGGGCATACAAACTTACTTTACATGGTTTTAAAATCAGACATTTTTTTGGTGGTTGCTGCATTATGGAAACCGTGGGCATTTACCAAGAATAGATACCTAGTGGGCAAATACCCACATGGGGTTGGGCGGTCCCTTCAGAGCCTCTGAGATGGGTGTGGTTTCCCCTTGCTGGGCAGCCCATTGCCATGCACAGCCTACAGGCTCCCAGGGTGTTCGTAGGGCTGCTTTCCAGCTGCTTTTTTGCTGCTGTGTGCTGTTTGGTAGGCTCTGCATTCTACTATAGACTCCGTTTTGAATTGTGTTTCACTTTCAGATCAGCCACAAAGAATGTTTCGTTGCTATTTTATCAGCTAAATAGGTGAACTGTTGTAATGCTCTGCACTAGGAAATTCAGCTTTTCCTGGAAAGCAAACCACTCTCCATAGCTTCTTCTTCTGGAGAAAGGCTTTCCAAATCCGAAACTGCTAATTTGTGAATAAACTTCCAAAGTGTGGCTTTTTATAGACTGTCGACATGTTCTATAGACACAATACTCTTAATGCTCACTTTAAGAGAAAATTTGGTTTGTAGGCTGGGTGTGGTGGCTCACGCCTGTAATCCAGGAGTTCAAGACCAACCTGGTAAAACCCCATCTCTACTAAAAATACAAAAATTAGAACAGGCATGGTGGCTCATGCCTGTAATCCCAGCATTTTGGGAGGCCGAGGAGAGTGGATCTCCTGAGGCCAGGAGTTTGAGACCAGCCTGGCCAACATGGTGAAACCCCATCTCTACTAAAAATATAATAATTAGCCAGGCGTGGTGACAGGCACCTGTTATCCCAGCTACTTGGGAGGCTGAAGCAGGAGAATTGCTTGAACTTGGGAGGTGGAGGTTGCAGTGAGCTGAGATTGTGCCACTGCAATCCAGCCTGGGCAACAGAGCAAGACTCCATCTCAAAAATAATAAGTAAATGAAAGTACAAAATAAAAATACACAAATTAGCTGGGCATGGTGGCATGCTTCTGTAATCTCAGCTACTCTGGAAGCTGAAGAGCTCAGTTAGCCTGGCCAGAGGTTTATCAATTTTTAGTGATATTTTCAGAGAACTAGCTTTTGGTTTCATTTATTTTTCTTTGTTGATTTTTTATTTTCAAGTATATTGATTTCTGCTCTAGAATTTATTGTTTCTGTCTTTCTTCTTAGGATTTAATTTGCTCTTTTTCTGTTTTCCTAAGGTGAATGTTTAGGTGATTGATTTTTAGATTTTTCTTGTTTTCTAATATGTACTTTCAGTGCTATAAATTTTCTTCCAAGCACTGCTTCATCCCACATTAAAAAAAAATTTTTTTTTTCTGTTTTTCTTCTTGTTCTTTTTCCTCCCGTCAGTTTTTGTTTTGTTTTCTTGTTTTGAGATGGGTTCTTGCTCTTGTCGCCCAGGCTGGAGTACAGTGGCATGATCACAGCTCACTGTCGCTTTAACCTCCCAGGCTCAAGCAGTCCTTCCACCTCAGCCTTCCAAGTAGCTGGAACTTCAGAAGTGTGACTGACTCTATGCACAGCTAATTAAATTTTTTTTTTTTTTTGTGGAGGCGGGGTCTTGCTATGTTTGGCCCAGCTGGACTTGAACTCCTGGGCCCAAACAATCCTCCTGCGGCCTCCCAAAGTTCTGAGATTACTGGTGTGAGCCACCGTGCCTGGCCTTTCCATCATCTTGCTTTGATCTTATTCATCCCACATATTTTCAATAAACTGTGCTGTCGTTTTTACTTAGTTCAAAATATTTTTCAGTTTCTCTTGTGATTTACTCTTTGACGCATTTAGTTGTGTTGTTTAATCTCCAAGTGTTTGGGGATTTTTCCAGCTTTCTGTTACTGATTTCTGTTTTAATTCCATTTTAGCCTGAGAGCAGACATTGTATTATTTCTATTCTTTTAAATTTGTGGAGGTGTGGTTTTTTTTTTTTTTTTTTAATTTTTTATTTGATTATAGGTTTTGGGGTACATGAGCAGAGCATGCGAGACAGTTGCGTAGGTACACACATGGCAGTGTGCTTTGCTTTTCTTCTCCCCTTCACCCACATTTGGCATTTCTCCCCAGGCTATCCCTCCCCACCTCCCCCTCCCACTGGCCCTCCCCTTTTCCCCCCAATAGACCCCAGTGTTTAGTACTCCCCTTTCTGTGTCCATGTGTTCTCATTTTTCATCACCCACCTATGAGTGAGAATATACGGTGTTTCATTTTCTGTTCTTGTGTCAGTTTGCTGAGGATGATGTTCTCCAGATTCATCCATGTCCCTACAAACGACACGAACTCATCATTTCTGATTGCTGCATAATATTCCATGGTGTATATGTGCCACATTTTTCCAATCCAGTCTATTATCAATGGGCATTTGGGTTGATTCCAGGTCTTTGCTATTGTAAACAGTGCTGCAATGAACATTCGTGTACATGTGTCCTTATAGTAGAACGATTTATAGTCCTTTGGATATATACCCAGTAATGGGATTGCTGGGTCAAATGGAATTTCTATTTCTAAGGCCTTGAGGAATCGCCACACCGTCTTGCACAATGGTTGAACTAATTTACACTCCCACCAACAGTGTAAAAGTGTTCCTTTTTCTCCACATCCTCTCCAGCATCTGTTGTCTCCAGATTTTTTAATGATCGCCATTCTAACTGGTGTGAGATGGTATCTCAATGTGGTTTTGATTTGCATCTCTCTGATGACCAGTGATGATGAGCATTTTTTCATATGATTGTTGGCCTCATATATGTCTTCTTTCGTAAAGTATCTGTTCATATCCTTTGCCCACTTTTGAATGGGCTTGTTTGTTTTTTTCCTGTAAATCTGTTTGAGTTCTTTGTAAATTCTGGATATCAGCCCTTTGTCAGATGGGTAGACTGCGAAAATTTTTTCCCATTCTGTTGGTTGCCGATCCACTCTAGTGACTGTTTCTTTTGCCGTGCAGAAGCTGTGGAGTTTCATTAGGTCCCATTTGTCTATTTTGTCTTTTGTTGCCAATGCTTTTGGTGTTTTGTTCATGAAGTCCTTGCCTACTCCTATGTCCTGGATAGTTTTGCGTAGATTTCCTTCTAGGGTTTTTATGGTGCCAGGTCTTATGTTTAAGTCTTTAATCCATCTGGAGTTAATTTTAGTGTAAGGTGTCAGGAAGGGGTCCAGTTTCTGCTTTCTGCACATGGCTAGCCAGTTTTCCCAACACCATTTGTTAAACATGGAATCCTTTCCCCATTGCTTGTTTTTGTCAGGTTTATCAAAGATTGTATAGTTGTATGTATGTTGTGTTGCCTCCGGTGCCTCTGTTTTGTTCCATTGGTCTATATCTCTGTTTTGGTACCAGTACCATGCTGTTTTGATTACTGTAGCCTTGTAGTATAGTTTGAAATCCGGTAGTGTGTTTTATGGCTCAGAATGTGTTCTCTGTTGGTGAGTGTTCCATGTGGGCGTGAGAAGAATGTGTAGTCTACTGCTGTTGGATGAAGTAGTCTGTGTAGGGCTCTTGGGCCCCACAGGGTCGTGGGGTGTCCCTCATGCTATGCAGGGACATATGCAGAGGTGCAGGATCCGAGAAGTAAAGAGACAGGACACTGAAGAACTGGTGAAGAGCATCTGGACTTGGGGGGTCATGCTACCCGTGAGGGGAGATCAGCGAGAGCCCCAAATGCCCAGAAGCATCTGTATGTATTAAGTACAAGCAGGGGGCAGGGTTGTGAGTGAGGTCATCATCTATAGGCTTAGTGATAGGGCATACATAATCAGGTGAGTCACAAGCGAGGGGGCCACCCCATCATGTCACCTGGGCAGAGAGGTGGGCCGTGCGCAGTAGAGGGCTGTGCTGTGTGCAGTAGTAGAGGGTCATGTACAGAAAAGGGATTCACCCTCATTAGGTCACCAGGGCAAGGAGGTGGGCTGTGTGCAACAGGTGTCGTGTACAACACTTCTTATCTGGGGGCTGGAGACTTCAAAGGGTTTCTAACAGAAAGATACTGTAAGCCAATGCAGTGGGAGCTGACGGACTTTTGCTATTCTCTTAAGATATTTATGGGAGGATGATTTGAGGTAGCACAGAAGGGAGAAGAGACTGACAGGGTGTACAGCCACCGTGACTGATGACACCAGAGGGGTTCTTCTCCCTCAGTTATTTGTGGGATCTCAGGCCAGAGGCCTACTTTCCACAGGAATGTCATGCAAGGTACTACAACTTCTCTAGCAGGAGGGGAGGCTCTTGCTTCAAGCCTGCCATACAGCATATGCCCTTTCAGGTAGGGACGCCACCACCTGGGTCTTTGGTTCTCGTCCTGGTCTGGCTGTTTTCCCATGTGCTGCTTCTATTCTGTGACTGCTCTAGGCATTTCTCCTACTACAGACTACTATATGGTTCTATGGAAGGATTCTATATATCAGCACTAAACGTGTCAGTACAACTCTGACTACAATACCTATATGATTATATAGAAAGATATATAGAACTAACTATGCTAGATATAAGTATTAAGTATGATTGTATAAGCTAGATATATGTAAGCAGTAAGTTATACTTCATGCACTAATTCTGTAAATAATATATGACTATATATAACGGATTATATAAAAGAAATAGCTGAGTAATAACACTATAAACTAAGATATTCTTCAGGTACTAACTGTGCCTGGGGTCCAGACAGTTCTCCTTCCCCGGTGCCCATGGAGGGTGTTACCCACAAGTCTGTAGATGTCCATCATATCCAATTGATTGACAGT